GCCTGAAAGCACAACAACAACAACAACAATAATCCTTGCATTTGATATAGCGCCTCATCACGTCTTCGAGACGTCTCAAAGCGCTTCACAGAATATACCGTAAAGTGATTTGACTCTATATTTTGTGGGCGAAACGCAGCAGTCAATTGCACACAGCGGTGGGTGTCCCACAAACAGCCGTTAACCCCAGATAAACAATCCGCCAATTAAACTACAACCAGTTTGCTGCTTACCACTAGGTAAACAGAGGTGTGTGGAGTAAAGAAACCTGACTAACGTTTCGCCCTGACTCATGAATCGAACCCAGGTCCTCTCGCTTGAGAAGCAAATGCTCTATAGGACTTCACAAGTCCATGCTCTTCGAAGGAGAGATTCTCAGTGAAAATTTCTTTTGTACTTTTGGGAATGAGAGAAAAGTATCCGCCCTCCAACTATATCGCCCATTAACATTATAACAGAGCCTGGTGGGCACAATATTAACTCTTTTTGTCCACAAAATATACAGTCAATTCACTTTACAGTATATTCTGTAAGTCATGTCGAAGACATGATTAAAGCACCGTATCAAATGCAAGGATTAAAATTAACTCACCTTTATAACTCCATTAATTTTAAGGTTGGCTTTTCCACAAGCAGACACTGTAACTTGGGCACATCCCCACCAACGTGTCAGTAACAAGGAACTTTTTGTAAACTTCGTGCAAGACCAGCTTTTTAAAATGTATCCCAACACCCAAGCGTTCTGACCAAAAGCACAATGAAGTTAAGATGGGCAGGAATGTGTTTAACCCTGCAAAGGAGCACATCTCCACATCTCAAACCCAGTCTTTCACCCAGAGCCACTTGAAACTTGTTAAAAGCCTCCATTTCCAGTGGGGAAAATATGAATAACAATAAAGTACAAGGAATGAGTTTCTAGGACTATATCCCTTAGTGTTTGTTCGGGTAAATCAAACCACAGTGTTTGGAGTTGCTATGACTAAGACGTACACATTTAATCTGAAGGCAATATAGATAGCTGTTAGAGCTGTGACAGACGCCTTTTGAAAGTGATGATAGTTTTTGATGAACTAAATGAAAAAAACACACACCTTCGACTGTTTTGAGATAGGATCGATCAGTCAAGAGGAAAACAAATAGCCTTTCTTCACGGACAAATATGAAAGGACGAGTCCGAGTGACTTGGCACGTAGTTCCTCTCTGAAATATTGGGCATCACTGATGTCTGCCTACTTCCAAGAATTACACCATCTAAGAAGTGACTGTGCACTTGACTGAGTCACCTGAACCCTCATTCATTCCGAACAGGTGTTTGTTACTTCTGCCATCTCTCAATCATTTGTGGTTTTTTCCCCCAGTCAGCCGGGCGTCTGACACGTGCGGAAACCCATCACCGCACTTAAGAGGATCCAAACCGAACTAAGAATTCCCTGCATCCATGGAAATTCCAGAAATAGATTGTTGGAATGCAATGCGCGCTCTCTCTCTCTCTCTCTCTCTGCAGGGACGCAGCCTGTTTACCTAATTCCGGAAAGTATTAAGCGCAGGTTGGCAAGAGGCAAGGCTTTAGTGAGAAAACGCCTTTGAATGCCAAAGACCTACATACATCAAATAAACTTGCAATAGTCCCACAAACCCACTGGTGCTTGGAATGACAAACACTCTGGCAATCAGCAGCCCTACCATGGCAAAGTTCCCAGGAAAGATGACATTTCGAAGAGATCCATCGCTTCTGGATAAAGCTCGCCATTCCCAACAGATACAAGCCACTTTATTAGTGATTATGATAGCTTTTCAAAAATACATGTATCTTGTGCATTTTAATTACAACGCAAAAGTGCCATCAGCTCGTCTCCAGATTCCATGAGACTCCGCACAATTGCCATTTCAAGAGAGAGGTAACAATGCATCTTTATCTGCCCAGGAATAGCTATAGACCTCACCAAAGATAAGCCTTTGCCATTGAAAATAATAGCATTGTCCTTATCCACTTAATGAAATATATTTGGTCATCTTGAAACCTTCATAAGTGCTGCCCTGCAAATTGCTGACATCCGTCTCGACTGAGAGATTACATTCAGTGATTCTTTCAATGCTCCTTCATAGAATCCTACAGCACAGACGGAGGCCGTTTGGCCCATCGTGCCTGTGCTGGCTCTTCGAAAGAACTACCCAATTGCAGGAGTCCCACCCCCCTACTTTTTCCCCACTCCCCTACTTTCGCAATCTTATTCTTTTCAAACAAATATCCTTTTGAAAGTTATTATTGAAAGTTATTATTATCCGCTTCCACCACCCTCTCAGGCAGTGCATTCACTGCGGAAAGAAAATTCTCCTCATCTCCCCTCTGGTTCTTTTCCCAATTATCTTGAATCTCTGTCCTCTGGTTACCAACCCACCCGCCAGTGGAATTTGGCTGCCAATACTAATCTATTTGGGGTATTTGGGAGCTGCCTGTCTTAGTCTGGGGTGGAGAGGGAGTTAGGACAGTCAAAAACACACGAGGTGAAAAATGGAAACGAAACAATCTGTTTCTTCTCATCCTTGATCTGAAACGAGTCAGCAAACACCTGCCTTCTTTTCCCACCCACCACCCCCAAAAGCCTGCCGAGGAGTCAGCATTTAACCGATCCCTTTGGCCTCAATCTACTCCAGACATTAACTCTTAGGTGCAAATCAATTATTCCTTACATTTATCAGTGGCTGGTCCCCACCTCAGTTTTCCTTTCCTGGTTCTGTGAAAAAAATACCTCTTTACAAACTTTATCACAATTTAAAAAAAAAACAAGAGACCTTCCCTTTCCCCTGTCCCATCATATCTCTTGCTGTAACAGATCAACTCTCTAGTCACCCTCATCATTGCTCTTCCCCCATTCCTGCCTTTTATCCCTTTATCCTTTGGAGAATTGATCCAATACATAAATCTTTCCATTCCTTTAAAGACTTGAGACGGGCCTTGAAGGAGGCAATGGAAGGGAAGAGGAGAAAGGACTGTGGGTTGGAGTTCTAATAGGTGTTACTTAAAAAAAAGTTACAGTAAACAGAATATCGAAATATTTTTCACCAAAACAAGGCACCCTCGCATTAAATATTTTTGCACACCTTACCTTTTCTTAATGCCATTCCTGCCATTTTTCTGCCCCGTTGCTAAGCTTCTGCAGACATAAACTTCCCCCATTACATCTCGGTTTCCCGTGGGACTAATCACCAGTTCATAAGTTTAACGCACCCGCGCTCTTCGTAACTCTCGCCAAAACATCAATATAATTACGATCAGCAGGCAGGCAGGCAGTCTTGTCTTTTCCCCACAAAGTCTCTGACACCTGGCAGTCCTCACTAACAAGTTCTCCTGCTCAAATTTAGCAATTAATCTCCCGGCTTGAATTCAAAATACACATTTGCTCCACGTGGCCATTCCTAACATTGCTAGAGTACACTTGGGAGCAAGCTTTACTGTTTGAAGCAGTGGGAGGCAGAGTGCACATGAATCATGGTTTAAGTTAAAAAAAANCTTTCCTTTTACTGTACAACATGTTGTCTCAACACAAATGGGAGATTGAAAGGGAAAAGAACAATTACAAGCGCCATGCAAGCAGTGAGCGGCCTGACGGGGGGGGGATTAATGAGGTGGAGGGGAAGAAGAGACAACGTTCAAAGGATTTCAATTATTGAGGATTTCAGCACTAATATCTGGGAATCATGTAAGTGGACGAGCAATATTTTACTGAATGAATTACGTAAGTATTTGTGTGTTGAGGACCTCACCGAAGACACGCTTTGTCAGTTAGTCATTTTGCATCAATTCAACCAAATGATTGTGAAATTCGAGAATTAAGGCCATTACATTTAAATTCCCAAGTCGGGGTGAAAGTAAATGCCTTCCAGAACGAATAGCTCGGCGGTTAATCGGAACTTTGGGTCTTTGCCTTAAAGGCAATGCAACAAGGTGAGCTGCCTGTGGTCACCGTGGCCAATTCACAAACACGGTATGTGCACAGCATTCCCTGCATGTGATCCATATTGAAGAACTCTCCAATTCAAGGAGTACTCTTCGAAGTACTCTCTCTTTCTCTCTCTCTCTCTCTACAAATCAGTTGATTGCTGCCTATGTGCTGGTACTTCCACCTCCACTGTACTAGCTGTGTTGTAAACGGAACCACACTAAACGCAGGACGGTTGGATCTCACTCATACGGCTGGAATTCCTCAGGTCGATCAACAAATAAATGATAACCTCAATATTATCTGCTACGTTTCAAGGGCGGACTTGCATGCTGGGATATCCGCCCAAGTATTACAGCGCAATAATGAATCACGGCAACCCCCTGCTCCCCAAATCTGTCCTGTTATCGTCAACAGCTTGACCCGTTGGCAGGAGCTCTCAATCACCTAGCTTTAAACCATTGCGATTTTCTTGTTTTTCTGTCTTCGAGCCTGTTAAGTAAGCGCTCGCTCCTTTACCATTGTAAGCTGTAAATGCATATGGGTCGATTAATTTTTTTTTTTTTTTTTTTTGGAGTGGGACAAGATGACTTAATTCAATCAAGAGAGCAACCAATTCCACCATTCCCTGAAGCTCTCTCTCCCCCAAGAATAAGGGACACTAAAGATGGTCCGGATGGAAAAATAAAAATGTGTCAGTAACTTCCATAAGACTAACAATAACTTTTCAGAGATCAGCAGAACTGAAAATAAAACCGGGTAAAGTTGGTAGTTAGTCAGCTTACTGCCTCACCTTCACACTGAAAAATTATTTTGCAGGAAAAAAAAAGGATTTAGTTCAAATAAAAGCATAACGGCAGAGCACCACTGAAAACTAACCTTCCTGACTTACGCTCAGACCACCAGACAACTAATATTGGGGGGGAAATAAAAAAACTAAAAATTTAAAATAACTTTGCATTTTAAACATTGGCAAATCAGTGCCACAGAAACTAGAATTTTTTGTGTGAAGTTTATTAAATGGTATTAGGTACCAGACACTTGACATCATACTAATACTTCCAAAACAACAGCAACAAAATGTTTTATTTCAAGATTCTTTGGTACATAAATTTATCTACTACATACATACTGTACATGCATGCATCACAATATCAGCTTCGTCTTGTTTTTTTTGAGGGGGGGAGGGGAGCTGAGTGGGAGGGGTATGTAATATATGATGCCCGCTTTTTTATTATTATTGTTATTATTTTAAATCCACTGCATTTCACATTTTCCCTACTTGACTTTCTTTTCCAGAACAGTGCGTTATACATTGAATGGAGTATGTGCCATAATACAGTCCTACAAGTGCTGGGCTTTTCCAGTTAATTGCTTTATGCATCAAATGCCTTGCTGTATTACAGCTATAGATTCCTCATCAGTGACCTCCTTCCTGACGGTGTCCCTGGAGCTGGAATTACACATAATATTGGTTTAAGTAAACTCCAGCTGATGGGACTGGATAAATCCACATCTAGACCCTATATACAGAGTAGTCCAACCTTTTGGCTGCCAAGGGCCAGATGCCCTATTTGAGAAACTTCCGAGGGCTGCATTATGCAATATTTTTGTGTTTCCCTTCCAGAAACATGACGTGACATTTACAGGTTATGGAGGGAGCGGGTAGGCCAGATGAAATGGTGGGTGGGGGGGGGATGAAATCGGCCCACGGGCTGCCAGTTGGACCACCCTGACCTGTAACAAACTAACCTGGTATTGATTGGGGTTTCATCATTTTGTAATTGAACTGTCCAAGCAATTCAGCTCAAATTTTGGCTCAACGTGGCTGAATACTCAAAATATTCACCCGCTAACTGGTAGAGGAAAGACAACACTACAGGCGTTTTATTTGAATCCAGCTGTGAAATGTAAATCCTAAGTAATACAGGGTTTTGCTTCTTTTTTTATTAAATGTGTTAATTCCCACTCTTGGTTTTGTAAAAAAAAAATCAACGATTGGTCGATTTAATGGAAGCACAAACAAGGCGGTTAAATACGGCATCTTTTTTCTCTCGTGTGCTACACGGTTCTTAATCTGTTCATAAGTTAACGCCGTCATATTTTTAATAATAAAAATATAAGCATTTTCGAATTCCAACACATATTGTAATTTATTTAGAAAAATAATAACGGTCTTAAAAGTAACAAGCGTTCGTCAGAAGTTAGAACAAATAATGGCTGTGTTATTTATGGTCGGCCTCCCCTACGATCCTATATATAAGCAAACTGCTAAGCTGTGACAACAATAAAACTACTGTATTTGCTTTCACAACCGCTTCCTCAAAATCGTTCAGACAATCGATTGTTTTGAATGAAGGACACGTCAGCAACGCTTGAAAGTTGATTTAAGTTTTGAGAATGCATGCTGATTATTTTGATATAACAATTGAATTACGCCATATAAACAACTCCAGACACCCTAGCTAACGATTCAGCAACGGCAACTCAAAACAGTTTTAACTCCTATTTCTCTCCCCAATGTTAAAACACTGAATACTTAAAACATTGAAGTGCCATAACTTTTGTATCTCAAAATTTATTTATTGAATTATTAACTAGAATTCAAAAGAATATCATTTCTTGAATTAAATCCCAATCAGAAACTATCATAAATGAGATGCACTTCGAAATTATGCACTCAACTCGGACTCAACACATATAATCTTTGCATTCGATATAGCGCCTTATAGCGGCGTCGAGATTCTCAAAGTGCTTCACAGGATATTCTGTTAAATGGTCTCGATTGTGTGGTCAAAGCGATTCACAGGATATACTGTAAAGTGGTTCTGACTGTGTTTTGTGGGCAAAATGCTGTGATCAGCAATTTATTTCATTTCCCGCGTAAATTATTTACTGCAATCTGCTGGTAGGTGGAAGAAAGCTATATTCTCCCACCAAGCAAGCGATCATGGACTGACTGTAGGGGTCATAGGTTTGACAATAAAATATCACTCGGTATCAAAAAGAATTGATATATATCAGTCGACGGGCAGCAACCGAACCTGAATTAAGCAAAGACTTGGGATGATTTTCTCTGAGCTTTGCTCAAAATGAACTACAAGGAGAAATCTGTTAAAATAGCATAAAATGGCTATTTTTACAACTCTCCAGATTTTTTGCCTTAATGTAAAAGTTCTGACTTATCTGCTGGCACATATTCCTCTATATTGGAATGCATTGTTACTGGAACCTCAAAAACACACAAGCTGTAGTCTGCTTTATAACTCTGCCTTTGAGATAATAGGAAGGCGGGGGGGGGGGGAGGGGGAGGGAAGCCATGCTATAGTTAGGTAACACTATGTATGACTGAATCGTAGCCAGTAGTTAAAATCCGAAACTGTCGGATATCAAAGCGTTAGTGATGCTATACTGTAGTTTTATTTTCTTTATAAATGTAAGTGCTTGACATTTGACTGTTTTGACTTAACACTGTTGTTACTAATGATCCACGGGCACAAATATTTGACAAACAGAGGCGGGTCAGCAAGAGATTAAGGGTATGAAGTATGGGAAAAATACCAGGCCAACTATATGAATTTTGACTTCTTGTCCATTTTTTTTAGAAAGAATGGCCTTGGGCTCTCGGAGGACAGCTGCAACTTTCCTGAACCAGCATGTTTTCTAATACTATGTTTCCCACTCGAATTGCAAATGGGTTAGACGCACAATGGGCACGTGGAAAAGGGATGTAAAACCACCTTTCAAATGCGCTTCCTGATTCTGTGAGAAAACGTGTCCTAGTGTTTCCGCAGACCAAATTCCTGGGGTGTGAAATGACATCAACACACGTTACTCAGACATCTTAGTCAATTCATTTAATGTTGTAAAAAGGAAGCGTGGTATGGATTCCAGTGAAAATATTCGTTTCAACAGTTCCTCGAACCCACCTATCCTTAAAATCGATGTGAATAATGAACCATACAGTATTCTAACACTAAAAATTCAATTTTTTTAAATATTAAGTATTAGTTCAATTCTCCAGCCTATCACAGTTTTCAGAATTGCCAGTGAGATGGGGGGGGGGGTATGTATCCAGGTTAAAATCATTGAACCCGTTAATGTGCCTGTTTCAAGCCAAGCACAGAGATAATATTCCCATCAATCTGCTTCCTGGGCAAACAGGAGTTCTCTAGTGTACGTGCAAAGGGAACAAGCACAGACAAAGCTTGTGCCTGTAATAAGTACACACCGGGTTCTTGTCCAAGCGAGAGATGGGAGTTTGTGTTAGTTGTGTGTATATTGATTTGAGCTTCCTTCCTCTTCCTCACAGAATTGAATGGATAGGGTTGAGTGGGACCAACAGTAGGTCTAATCCTACCTTATAGTCGTTACTCTAGGTTGACAACTAAAGATAGAGACAATGCAGTAGTTTGTAGTGCAATCCGCAGGTTGTACACAACACAGAAAACGGTTAAAAAAAACCTGCACTGAGGACAAAGAGAGAGGTTGGATCTGATCTACTCCTGTGTCGTATTCCTCTCCTACTTAATCTTTACGGTTTGCGTTTCTACTTTAATAACTAGGAGGTATGTACATACATCCGGCCCCTTCCTCCTGGGTTAGTGCACGTGACGAGTATCTGTCCGTCAAGAATCTGAGAACCACTAACACACTATTACTCCGAGCATTGGGCAATTCTATGGCCAGTGCAGTTCAGTACCTCTTCTTTTGTTTCCTCCTCCTCTGCTTCCGTTGATACTGAAGGTGCTTTTGTCTTGTACCAGGAGATCTGAAGGTTTCTTCCTTTAAACTTTGCTCCCTGATTGGCAGCCTGTGTGCAATTTAGAGTCACAGATCAAAAAATTTAAATGGTAACTTTTTTTTAAAAAAATTAAAAACACACGACACACACTATATGCAGATTTTTTCAAATAATAATCCTTGCATTTGATATAGCACCTTATCACGTCGTTGAATATACTGTAAAGTGCAGTGACTGTTTTGTGGGCAAAATATTTCTTATAGCAATTTATTTATTTATTATAACGAATCTATTGCCTCTAATTTTCCCAAAACTCTCCAGGAATATTACAGTATAACATTAGAATGTCTAGATACAGTCAATTTTCACTCCATTCTCTTCGTGAACTGATGTCAGCTCTGACTGGAGTAATTATAGGTGACCCCATAACTTGAAATTAGGTGAACTGTCAGAGATGAGTTCCCTCATCAAGTAGGTGGAAACAGCAAGTTTGATTGACCGGCCACACTACCTACTGCCTCTTCCCTCTTCTTGAAAGTCAGATTCACTCTTGCACAAGAAGTGCACGTAACAATGAATTCATGGAAGGAATGTAGGCATTTAAAGCAGAGCAATGATGTAAGCTCCAACAAGACTATAAAGTGCATCCCTGGAGAGGTGGACAGTTGAAGGCAAGATTCTCTCGGGCCGTGCACATAATTTTGTAGTTGGTGAATTCTGAGAGGTAAAGTAGAGGAACTGCTTGTGAGATTTCGCCTGTTGCTTTCTTTAATAAAGGGTGGGGGACGGAGTGGGAGAGAAAGACTTAGGAATTCTTTAATACTTCCTCCCCCTATACCTGTCCTTCTCTCAATAGATTAAAAAAATCAGCTCCCTCCCCTCTTAAATAATGGGAAACTCTTCTGAAGGAAAACAAATAATTTTCCAGTTACTTTCTTGTTGTCTATTTTACAATGCCTTTGCGTGTTTGTGACGAGCTCCAATGAGCAGTCTGATCATGCAGAAAATAGTCCCTGTACAGCTACTTAAAATACACAAATATGTATACCGCCAGGGTAAAATCCTTGAAACTGTTAATGTGCTTGTTTGGAGCCTAACACACAGATAATATTCCCATCAATCTGCTTCCTGAGCAAACGGGAGTTCTCCAGTGTAAGTGCAATGGCAGTTTAAAGAAATTCTATTTTTTTACCCCCAAGTTAATATTTGACACGCTTCCAATTTTGGTACAATTGAAGTTTTCTGCACCTAAAGGTTTTAATCATCTAACATCTTAAATCATTTGACACAAACACTGGATTTGAGACAAAAGGGCGAAATCTGCTCTGTCTCATCACAAACAACGCGTTTTGTGAAAAGTCACAAAATTCACCTCAAATTTGTGGGGGGTTTTAAATATTAATTTGTAAAATCTATTTTCCATCTACAATATGTAAGGAATCATTATATTTTATAAGGAAACAAACATTTAGCAAGACTATATAAAATGTAGGCAGCAATGTCAGTTCCAATGCTCTATGACTGTCGTTGCGACTTACATTTTCTGCTTCAATTCTTGACTTGAATGTTAGTCTAACACTCAGAGGGATATCATCCTGAAGATCTTCCACTTCCCCAAATTTCTAGAGGGAAAAAAACAACAAAAAACATTTTACAAACACCAGTTTATTGTCTCTAAATAATAGAATTGCGCTGAAGGATTGAGCCACCTGTGCAGATTCTACTAACTACAGTCTAGTTAAAACTTCTTTGATTGTAAGGAATATTTACTACACCCATAATTTTTAAACCAAAATCAACATGGAAATTAAAATGCAGTGATAGACCTATTCCTGTTTTTTTATGTCAAATCTTTTAGTCATTTTAATTTCTGTCCTTATAGCTACAGATCAAATAATAATTTGTTATTACATTCACATAACACCTTTTGCACAGGGAGAATTTTTAAAACAATTCACAAAGACCGAATGGGAGCTCAGAAGAAATAAAATGAGTGGTTTGTGCTGAAACATGTGCACATGCTGATGTGAGGGTTAGATCAGTCGTTAAACAATTTACCCCATAAACAATTTACCCATGATCAGTTTGCAAACCGATGCTCACCGTTGGGGCTCACACAAGATAGGAACCGAAAGAGGCCATTCAGACTTTCGGCAGTCTGCAAGGATTACCCAACACTGAACGCAGTTTTGCATCGACTTACTGAGAAATGTGGCATTAACTCCTCCTTTTCCTCCTCTGTGAAGCCAAACACGGTCAGTGTCTTGGGCCTGTGATCGACCACCATGTGCATCTGCGCTCCTCTCCCCCTCACACTCCGGCCTCGGCCTCGCCCGCGACCTCGCGCCAGCAAAGCCTTGCCACGGCCTCCGGGAAGAATTCCCAACCGTGCGGCCTGAAAACAGACAACGCAGCGCGTAATTTTTTTTTAAAAAATCCACTCTCGGTTTTAAATTCAAATGTAATCAAACTTTCTTGTTAATAGTCACATTATATTCACGTTAACACATTGCATTTGCGTTCCTTTCAGTCAGTGAATGTACGGTTTGTTGCCTTACATGAGAATCTGGTTAAATAGGATTTATACCCGACTGAACACCCAACATTTAAAACTTTCCACTCACAGCAGCTCGAGTTTTGAAAGCGTCTTACATGATACTTTCGCTCCACTTTAATCAGCGTCACATTTTCACTTTTCTACATTTTCGTTCAGGAAAAGTTCTCGAACTTATTTTATTGGGTTTTATGTTGCTGGGAGAGGACGGAAAACCATTCAAGCTCTCCATCTCGGTTTCACCTAAATCCAATGATGTGCTTGTTGGTCACATTCATTCAGAACTGGTTGAGATAACCTCGAGATAACCTCAACACTTTCAATCATCAGTCTAAGCTGGATTCAAAGGCAGGTATCCAACATGAAGACAGAATACTCACTAATTGCACATCTTGTCTCCTTTTTGCTCATTCCTAGAGATGCTTGAATGTGGGTTCCCCTCCACCTCACCCCTTCCCTCCTTCAAGGCCCATCTCAAGACTTTTCTTTTCGGCTGTACCTTTAGTCATCCTCCCTCAATGAATCCTACCCACAACTCGGGTGCAAACTCCTCAATTGGCCAGCACCTTGGGACGTCCTCCCGACGTGAAAGGCACTGCTTAATGCAATTTGTTGTAGTTGTGGGCTGCTGATTCAATGTGGAAGATCTGAACAGCACTAACCTCGAGTTGGAGCTGGTTCAGTTTTTTCCGCAAATCCGTGGTGTCCTCCCCAGAGTTCAGCTTCTTGTGGAAATCCAGTTCCGCGTCCAGTAACTCTTTCTGTGCCTGAGTCGTCAATAAGAGGAAAGAAAAAAAATGACATGATCTTTACACTTATCTCTCAAAAGACTACATCGAAGGCTAGAAGATTCCACTTTGTTTTGGAGTCAATAGAGAGCGTTTATATTTATTTAGACTCACATCAGACTTTGATTTGAGCTGTGATGGTAAAGATGTTGATGGAGATGTTGCTTTCAGTTCATCTCGCAGCTGCGATATTCTTTCCGTCAAATCTTTAATGGTTTTCATTATTTTGGCTCGTTCTTCCTTTTTCATCGTTTTATTTTTTTCCAGCTTGCAAATTAATACCTGAATGAATTTGATAATGGGGAGTGGGGGTGGGGGGGGGGGGTGGGGGAGGGAAAGAAAACTTTCAGTGTTTCAAACGTGGCTCAATTGTTAAACCACATAAAGCAGGAATGTATTGTAGTGAGTGATGCACATCTAAGAGTTTAATTCCCTTCATTTCTAAGAGATTTTTCCAGCAGACTTACCTTCTGGTACTCGATTTGTTTTTCCAACATTTCTTGCTTCTTTTTTCTCATATCTTGTTGCAACTTTAAAGCTTCCTGAAATGAACAAGAGGAAATCAGCTTTGAGTAAAACGTACCGTTACACAGATTTTGCCAATTACGGACTGTGCTTTCACAAATAAAACTCACAAGCAACAGTCAGGAGCGGGTTATCTCACTACTTGGGAGTTTGTTGCTTTTAACTAGCAATAGGGATACGTTCCATTTTTAACCAATGTAAGATCTCACTAAAATCACTAATCATAAATTCAATTTTTTTCAAGATAGTAGTCATATCCAGCATACAAGCAAACGACACTATCGAAAACTTTCAAAAGTCACTTATTTAGGCCTTCTCACTCACTAAAGAAAATGATTGTTTTCATACATACTGGAATCATGTCTCCAGTAAAGAAAGGCAAACAATTATGAAACAGTCAGAAGAAATGGTCTGGTATCTGTTCAGGTCTTTTAAACCTTTCCGACATTAGAGTTCTAATAAGAGGCCCTTCAATGGGTACTATTTGACAACATTGTGAATGAAATCACCTGAATTTTAATGCTTCCCATTTAATGCTTTATGTCACTCGTGTTGTTTTGACTCAGTTTGAGTCTTCGAAAGTTAATTCAAACAAAATGAAAGAGTTGATTCAATTTAAATGGAAACTCCGGTGAAAGTTTATGCAGTACCTGTTTTTTCTTCAGGGCTTCTTTGGCTTCGAGCCCTTTACTGACTGTAACAGAGGATTTGGGGGTCGTCTTGACGGCAGCTGCACTATATCCTGGTTTTACTAGGCTTGTGGAAGAAGGCGGTCCCTGGTGTGAAGCAAAACGGTACAATAATTCTTCTGCACAATAATCATAGGCAAATAAGATGCACTCAATCCACAACTGTTTGTGGGACATTGCTGTGTGAAATTGCCTGCTTCGTTTCATCCACAAAATACAGGTAATTCACTTTACAACATATTCTGAGATGTCTCAATGACGTGATCAGGGACTTTATCAACGCGAGTATTATTACCGTTAACATTTTCACACAGCTCTCTGCAACATCTGATAATAATATCCCTTGCATTTAATACGGCGCCTTATCACATCTTCAAGACAAAGCGCTTCACAGAATATACTGTAAAGTGAATTAACTGTATATTTTGCAGTTAAATGCAGGTCTATGTGCCAGAAAACTACCGATTGGAACTCAAGACCCAAGCAGAATATATTCCAACCAATGTCAAATATCCTCCTGAACCGGTCAAAGCCGCACAGTGAAATTACCAGCGCTGACTGTTGAACTAGTGTGAGGAAGGGGAAAAGTGAAATAGGGAAATACAACACTAATTACCTGTGAACCCTCTCCAATACCACCAGGCTGGCTTGGACTAGTTTGCGTCCCATCCTGTTGACTTCCACCCAACGACCCCAATCGTTGTTTCCTTGGTGTATTTGTGAGAACAAAAGACCCTGGACTTTGATTCCGGTTTAATATCTGGGAAGTAGATAGATAATGGGTTTGAGGTAACAGCATTAAATATTAAAAGTTCAAAAGCTCAGTGAGCCGAACACATAAATTGCAAAGCTCGATTATCACGGACTTCCTGAAACAAGAGGTAGGCGCGCGCCCTGACAGTAAACAGTACCTTATGAACGGAGCTGTGTTGCAATACTGTTGACTGCTGTGACTGTACTTGGTGGTGATGGTGATGTTGATGTTGCTGTGACTGCTGAACTCCATTGTTCTCCCTGTGCCAGTACACCCTAATAAACCTATTGTTTAATACTGCCTCGGTGCTGGAAATGGCCCGTTTGGCCTCCTCGTTCTGCGAGTACTGGATGAGCGCTGCTTCAGGATCTCCACCAAAGGCAACCTGTGGGATTAGACGAAACCCAGGAGTACAGATGGTTGAATAATACTTTTTTTTTTAAAAAAAAGTTGAATCTCTCTGCAGGCCTTGCCATTTTCAAGTTTTGCAACTGAGAAGTGCGTTTAGCTGATTTGTACACAATTCAGAAGCATTGTAGAGGAGAGCAATGAGAAGGGACATTAGATAAGTTATTATAAGGTGCTAAATGGGACAGAGATCGCAAATCCAGAACAATACACCAGGACAAGAGGGCACAGGTTCAGGGCAGCCTAGGGCAATTTTACGACAGACACCAAGCAGTTATTTTATATAGAAGGTAGCAAACAATTTAATCAGTGTTGCTCTGACAAGCCACAAGGGTGGCTAGTGAAATAAATATAATATTCAATTGGAAGGTTGTATTGCCTGAGTTCAAGTACAATAATGTGACTAAATACAGGAGCTTTACTTAGGGATGAAAGAACCTGAAACCTGAACAGGAAGCGCTTGATGTCACCACTAGGTGACAAACACAGTTAAAGATAAGTAAGTGCCATATCTATCATATAAGATGCTGTTCTAGAAAATAGAGCAGCTATTTTGGCAAGCAGTGAAGATGCTTATGCGGTAATTTTCTTACCTGAATGTTGACAATTGTACCAAATTTGCTGAAATGCTCATTGAGCTGTGTGATGGTGTTCATTTCCCTGGGGATTTTGCGAACCTCCAGCTTTGTGTTATCGTAGGTGTGCGGAGGTTTCTTCTGAAAGCCCTGCTTGTTCTGATGGTTAAAGTTTGGCCTGTCGATTTAAGAGAAAGATACTCTATTTCCAGCACTGACATCTCTCCACCAGACAAATGCAACCATTCACAAAGGGAAACAGGAGCACAGATATTACAGACAGAACAAAAGTGCGACTCTTACTTTTCCATCCAAGGTTTCTTCATCGGAGGCCCATCCAGATGCACCACGGTCCTTTTTCGGGATTCTGGCTCGATAACGACCCGTGCAACATTATTGTTCATCACCGTTGTGGCAGACGTCTCAGCCTGGATAATCTTTACAGGCACTGAAACCGTTAAGAGAAGCGACTCAATACTTTGCGGGCAACCTTCCAAAGAATTGACGTACAGAACTGAATTCTATGCAACATACAGGATCGTTCCATCTTAAAATTACTTTGGGCACTCTTTCCATGAAATGCCCCATGTTGTATATTGTTGTCTTGCAACTTTATAGCCCTTGGGAATGATCTGTTGCATCTATTCAGCAAAGAATTTCCTATTCAGATCTCAGGCATGAGTTACAAACCGGTTTATAATTTGCTCAATGTCCCTTTAACTTTACGTATGGAATTCCACAGATACTATGGCGTTTAAATTGACCTAGTTAATCAGCATGATTTTAGGCAGCAAAAGCTTAGGTGAAATTCTATGGACTTTCTTAATAACAATTCACAAAACCAAAACAAGCATTAAATTTAGGCCGACCGCACATTTATCTCTATTTTCTGGCATTTTGTTAAGAATAAAAAAAATCAATAGTATTCCAACGCCAACTCTGGAAGACAATGGGAAATATACAGATGTATTGCAAATATACAGAATCACTGAGGTGTTTGAGCATCCCTTTACATTCAGTAGCCAGTTGAAAAAGAAAGTTCAGCAAAATTTGTAATTGAAAAATTTCTGCACAAACACTACTTGTGAATAATAGGCTTGCCCATCAACTACAGAACAGTGGCTGATAGTTTATAGGACTCATGATCAATCTTAGGTTTTTTTTATTTTTACCTCGTGAACAACCATCCATAGTGTTGGACGTTAACCCGATTAGATTAGGGCGCTCAGTCTGAACCCGTGGGATGTAGTGTCGATACTGAGGCCTAGCTCCCCCAGTTATGCTGGGAGCCTCTGGGTTATATCCATCAGGCTCATAGTTATCTGAAACACAAAGTGAGAATGCTGTAACATTTACCCATATAGTCTCAACCATTCAAGGTTTTAACAGCTCTGAAAGTCAGAATTCAGCTTTGGAGGAATGATAACGTTTTTAAAACCAAGGAAGTTACAACCAAGGTGGCTATTCAAGGCTTGATGGCAAATTTACTGACCTTGGCGATGAACATGTATAATTCTCTGTTTGTCAGTGAATTTAATCTCTGAATGTAGTTCAACCTCCACAAAGCTTGACGCTGTAATGGGAAGACAGGAGGATTGATATTGGAGAAGGATGAGATCAAACGGGCCGAATGGCCTTTTGTGATCTTTTTCTTCTCAACGGACAACCAAGTATGAATTTGTATGTGGAGGCTCAACTACGTTCAAAGAGGAGGGAGACTTCACCTACAGTAGGTTCTCTGACGTGTGACACCAGTAGCTGTGGTTTGTTGGCAAATCCTACACCTCAGATTATCAGTAATTTGTAATTTGTTGGGAGTATCCGTCAATTAAAAAAAGACAGCTTTGTCATCGAGTTACAACCAGAGCCCAATTAATTGTCCCTTTAAAAAATAACACTCCCTTCAATAGATGTTCCTGTTCTTCTCTATTGACGCCTCAAATTGAGTTGGAAAGAATTCCAGAGCTAAAGGTGTTGTCACTTATCCTGTCAGTGAATCTCCCATTTCTGAATGTATAGTTGAACTCCATCAATTTACTAAGACACCAAATTACTTTTGTATTAAAATTAGGACAACAATTAAATGTGGTCAAATATTCAACAACTGGCTGGGAGGAGTGGAAGGAGATATTCAGAACCCAGAATTAAGCAAAATAATAAATAAAAATAAACTCGAAAAAACAAAGTAAAATCCTCAAAAACTTGAAAGGAATGGGTCGTAAATGAAAGGGGGATAAAGCAGAGAAACTAACAATCATCATATGTGGTCATAGCTTTCATTTATCCATCAGAAACTCAAAATGGCAAAAAACTACTTAGGCGAGTACCAATTTAGAATAAAAAACGGCATTTTGACGATCCTGCCTGATATATAAAGAAAGGAATATAATTACTTACATTCTGAAGTCGCATAGGGTGGATACTGAGGTAAAGGTGGGGGTCTTAATCCTGGGAGTGGCAGTGAGGGGACTGTACTAGTCCCAGACACTTCAATGCCGTCTATATTGCTCTTTGGAATTGGATGTGGTCCTAAAAAAGACAGCACAAATTTCACACAAGTCTCACTTAATCCAATCTGGTTCTCAACAGTTTACATATTTTTTTGTTTTTACATAACAGGAGATTCCCTTTAAACTGGTACATATGAATGGCCGATGCAAAGCTCTTGTGGTTTTTAACAGGAAAGAAATGTTCTGCATGTGTGCCGCACAAATAATCTGAGAACTTCAACAAAGCATTTGAGTTTTCATCATTCTCAGTCCAAAATTGACAAGAGTGGCTCTAACACTGACATTTATAATAATATAATAATAATCCTTTCATTTGATATAGTGCTTTTCACGTCTTCTAGATGTCTCAAAACGCTTCACAGGATAGGCTGTAAAGTGAATTGACTGTATATTCGTGGGCGAAACGCGGCAGCCAATTGCGTACAGCTTCGTCCCCACAAACAGTCATGGATTGAAAACGATCAATTTAATATTGTTTTGCTTTGGAGGGATTATTATTAGGTGTGTGGAGTAAGGAAACTTGCCCAAGGTTTCGCCCTCTGCCTGGAATTGAACCCAGGTGTCTCGCTTACAAAGCGAGTGCTCTAACCACTGAGCTGCAGGACTCCATCAATTTCCCACATTTCCCACATCAATTCAGAACTAGTGGAGAACATTAGCAGAACCATCCAAGCTCTTAAAAGTGTCATTTCAATTTCACCAATTTAAAATAAAAATAACATTTAAAATTAAATAAATAAAAATGTGAAGCACTTTAAGGCTTCTCAACAACATGATAAAGTCCTATATTAAATGCAAGGATTATTATTAATTATTACTACCACAAGCTACATGAACAGTTCACCAAAAGACTAAATTCTGGATAGATGAACAGTATGTGGATCGAGAAAACAAGGTGTACTCTTTATGGTTCTCGCATTCACTTATCCTTCATGATCATTGTCCCCCCACCTCCCACCATCACCTCCTCCCACAAACACACACAATTTGTTTCTCATTTTGATGCAAAAAGGTTACCAGATACCATGGAGCTTACGTCGAAACCCTGTACTATTGTTAAATGCTTGAAACCACTGTATTTTTCAAATCAGTAATCATGCCATCATTTCTATTTTAGTGCTCCAGCAATAATGACTGCATATTACATTACACAAGGGATTTTAATTGACTCTGAACACAACACACATTAAAAACCACAAGGGTCTTTCGCAGAGGCACTGTTTAAGATATAATAATAGAACGTGATAAGGCTCTATATCAAATGCAAGGATTATTATTAATTATTATATGCCTGTACCACACTAACGTACATCATCGTGTTAGAGTGGGGTTAAAAAATCCAATCGTCTCACTTCATTCCTAAACTCAGCAGGCAGTTGCACGCATCAACTGCAAGCTCTCCCACAAGGAGGGAGAGTTTAATCAAAAGTACTAAACATCACTGGGTTGTTTTTTATGCATCTATAAGGGGCCAACTCAGAGCAGCATAGTTAGGAGGCCTGAGAGCAGATAATTTACAACCCCCAAACAACACCAAATTGAATTTAACGTCGGGAGGACGTTCCCAGTGTGCTGAAACGGAAATGTTCGCCTACATCGCAGGAACAACTCTGAAAATATTTCTCAAGTGTGAAACAGGGCTCCTATTTTGCACTAAATAAATACTGCGCATCTGTTCAAAGCGAGCCAATAGACAGACCTAACCCATTTTTAATGAATTCCTTTATTCTCAGCACAGGAATACTCAACATAAGAATTGCTAAATGATAAAAGACCAAGGTCCATCCAGTGCCTTCTACTATCCTGGCAGTCGCATACACAGGTCAAACTATGTACTGTATCCCGAGATATTATTTCCTAACAAAAATCTATATAATTTGATCTTGAAAGAGTCGACGCTTTCTGCTTCCACCGTCTGTCTCTCTAGGGAGCCTGTTCCGTACATTTACATTTACTTCAACACTTTCTTCTTCCGCCCACCCGCCTGTTCCCATACATTTTACTTCACTGCATGCAATAACATCAGCGACAGGAATAGAGAAGGATGTGATCGTGTCCTCACCGGTAACAGGATGGATGCCAGGAGGTGGCGGCTGTCCGGGTGGCGGTATAAGGGGTAACCTCAGATTTGGAGGGGGACCGGGTAAGGGCGGAGGCAAGTGGTGCCCAGGTGGTGGCAGCTGGTGGCCTGGCGGAGGCAAGCCTGGAGGTGGCGGAGGAAAAGGAATCATTCCAGGTAGAGTCACATCCTCCACTACAAGTGGATCGTTGCCGTGATCAAAGAGGCAGAGGTCACCACGCATGCAGAAACCTTTCTCTGAAAACAAAACGTTTTATTTGGAGATACATATTCTGTATGTTCTATGTTTTTCCTCTGTTCAATCTTTTCATTCCAACACAAAAAAAATAATTTTCGAAAAAAATTACAGCTCAAATTGATTTTAACTAAAAAAAAATAAAGACAAAGCAAATAGGACACAAGGCATCACGCATTAGTATGGTCTGGGCGATAGGAAGCGTAATTTAAACCCAGGACTCAAAATGAATACAAGACCAACAAGGGTCTACTGTGATACTGTTACATACTCGTGCCATAAGCACACAGGAAGAGTCATGAGAGGCATTTTATGAACTGTTTCCAATGGATATCCATGTGTAAAAGCTCTAGCAGATCTTTGCCGTTCTCACAGCTCTGCCAGGCCAGTAATAAGTTACTGTCAGCTTTAACTTCAGCCTTGGCATCCAGCAGTGTGACGGGTGTGGCTTTTTTTTGGACATGATGCAAAACTGATCTTGCGTTTCTCAATGGATTAAAGTCTGACCAACAAGTCATGGTTCAGTCACCACCCTTCGAGCTACTTGCAGGGCATTTTAAACTCAACACTGCTGCATGGTACCACTTGATTTTGGTCCCATTCTTATCAGTACTCATTATGTGGTCAAGCAATGATTGGTTATACAGCCTCGGCCAATCTGTCCTGTGCTTATTTTTAGGCCATCAAATCCCACAGTGAATTGGTAGGAAACAAGCAGCCCATTTATGCAGGCCCCATCTTAAAAGCCATCACACCTCAAGGTGGAACCATAGATATTAAACCTGGACTTAACATGCATGCATGAAAAGAAAGCTTCTCTTACCATCATAGTCTCTGCACCGGCGCTTGGGGCCCGCATTTCTGCTGAAGGAATTTGTGCCCATGTGGTTGTTGTAAAAACTAGACCAGCTCTCTGTTGTGTTGTCGGGGTGGTGGGCAGGAGCGACCACAGTCACTGTGCTGGCAGCAGCAGCGTGTCCTCCAGAGAAATACTGTTCGGCTGAACTGTTGGACGATGTGGAGCTGGGAACGTACATGTTCTCTGAGCCCTCGTTTCGCTCTAATTCAAACTTCGACCTCTCTTTATGTTGCTCTGTTGATTGAAAAAAAACATACTCAGAGAACAGTAACTTGGCGGGACGTTAGACAACTGTAAACGCTAAGTTTTCAACGGCAAACAAAAAGCAGAGAGTATGAGTTATTGTGAAGTTCTCAAACTGAACCCTGAATATGGCTACATTCCTGAAACAAAGCTATATCAGAGCAACTAAACATGTAGCATGTAAAAGTGTATTTTTAAACTGTGGTATCCATTACGATTAATCACGGTTTTGTGACAAAACTCTAAAACAGCCTGGAAATTGCCTCTTTTAACTAATGTAATGAACTTTACTCCTCATTGATGCATCCAATCAGAATACAGCATAAATAGAACAGGCCAGCCTCTTAAACTTGATACCACATCAACAACCGCCCGACACATCTGGGCTGCAAACGTTCGAACTGCAACAACAGCCACCACTATGAGACTGAAAGAGTTTAGATTTCATCTCCATTGAAATTCACTCTGCTGCAGTCATTGTTTGCTAGATGCTTGGGTGCTTTCCGAATGGGATTTGGGTACATATCGTGGCGATGTTTCTCCAAGAAGAACCAGCTAGCAATTACTCTGTTGTCGTACTCAAAGGCTCGTTACAAATCGGCTTCTGTACCTCCAGTGAATTTTCGCTGAAACCACGGGAGTCTACCGTAAGATCTACTTTTATTTCGCAATTTGTGTCGCAGTTGTGAACGAGTATGAACGGGAATGAATGCATTTTTGCCTCCCGCTCTTTCTTCTTCCCCCATTCTTTTCTCGTGAATGTGAACAAAAGCAAACTCTTCCACATTCCTGGATCCAAAACAAAATCTATCCTTTCTTGCTTGAGATGCTGACGTTCAATCTTGTTTTTCGCCAAGAACCCTCATGTCCAGAAAGCATCCTTCGATATGAAAAGCAAGCTGGAGATTTCAAAGCTCCTGAAGCTACTGTTCCAGCATTCTCAATAGACCTACACTTCCTGCTTTGTGTGCCAATCTTGGTTGGTTGTTAAGTTTCTTCCAACCTTCCCTATTATATTGCTTTATAATGGGGAATACCACCTGATGCCCTGACTGAAAACTGATGAAGAGCTAATTAACAAATCCAAGTATCAGGCAGCATTGGGACTTGATCTGGAGGCCACGGGGGATGCATTAGCAAGCTTGTTGCTTATTAGGCTCACATAGCTTCTCAAAAGCAAGCTACGTTGCAGCCTTGCAGATTCTTCTCAGCAGCAGTCCACACGTAGCCTTGAAGTCTTCCCACTGCTTTGCCTAATCTACAAGAACTCCACAACCGTGCTTACGCTCCAGAGATGGAAACCAGCCAAAGAATGTGATATAACCAGGAAGAGAAAATGTCTGGAACAAGCTCATTTCATACATCAATTACCAGCAGAAATCCTAATTGATGGAAAACATCAGCAGGTGCAGTAGAAAATTTAAACTCTTTTGCTGTCTTATTGCTGTCGAAGCTCTCTATCAAACAATAATCTTACATGTGTAAAAGAGAGTCAGGGCATCAGGTGAAGAGAGGCCATGGATAAAAAAGATTGTCAATGTCAGTAATAGTTGACCTAACAAAGGACTGAATGGGAACAGATGCTCTATCTTAGCATCTTAGTGAGCTCCATCTCTCCTCTTCGAACATCTCCTGCCTCACCCTGTCCGCTCAAAGCAATGCCATCACGCGATCAGTCTGCTGTGCGGTTCCCCTGGCTGTTAGCAGCCTCTCAGAGGTGGATTTTGTGTCGCAGTGAAAATGCACAGTGGAGGTAAGAAAGATTAGCATCAATCATTTCCTGCCATTATCATAAGAAGCACCTTGCCATCGAGCTACAATGTTCCGTTGGCAACAGGTGGCAAGGTTGAAAAATCATTGCACCCTTTCCCCGTTACTGAGGTGCAGAAATCCAAGACTTCTAGAAATCTCAAGAGGAAAGACAAAATGTCTAGCGAGATTTGAAAATGTGCAACACTGACCTTTGCTGGTGCTATTGCTGCGCCCATGGTCCCGGGTCCTATCTTTACTTTGGCTGCGGCTACGATTTGTGTTCCCGCTCGGACTGTGGCTGTAACTCCTACCTCTACGCCGATCGTACCGCTCGCGATAGGGATCTCGGTTGTGAGAATATCGTTCGAAATCCCGGCGCCGTCGCTCGTCGCGTTTTTTGTCCTCGCGATTTCTGAAAATGTTCCAAGAAATTCAATTTGTAGAAAATGCCATGGGCTGAAAAGGACTCTTAGTAATACATTAACATGTAGCTTGGATATAACAATGATAATCATTGCAGTGGATATAGTGCCTTATCAGGTTGTAACACCTCAAAGCTAAATAAATTAAATAAATTATTAAATCCAACAAATTTAATACATTTTAGTTCCCATTTGAAATAATCAATTAGGCGATTAAGATTTTCCACCTCTGTTGCCAATGTTATAAGGCGCAGGATTTGCTTTGTAAATTTCTGGCGGTGTCAGCGCCCGATTACCCACTTAAGCAAAGTTCTCAATGTAAAGTCCGGTCGTGGAAAATTGACCTGTCATTATGTAAAATGAGGCACAAGTATTGGGTTCCCAGATGGATGATTTGTTCAAACACAATCTCATGAGATGAAAAGCAGTGTTAATGTCCTCCCAATGTGAAAGGCACTGTACAAATGTGATTTTTTTGTTGTTGTTGCTAATTTTGAGCTCCATACTCAAAGAGCAGTTGATTGTTAATATTCATGACTTACAAACAAAATGCAGGCCTTCAACGCAAGGAATCTGTCGTTACTAGGATTAGGATTATGAGCTTTCTCTGAAATAATCCTTTTCAACCAGTCTATGCCAAGTTTTTTTAATCTTAGTAGTTAATGCACACAATACAGCAGTCAGAAGAGTAGGATTAATAATAAAGATGACAGCTCCCATCTGAATGCATACAAAAGAACATTTGGGGATTTCAGTCCATGGAATATTCTCCTAGGTATCATCTAAATATCTCCCAATTCTATCTTAAGTGATAACTACACTCCTGGGATTCGCCCAAGGAGCTTTTGAACTAGTAATTAAGCTAAACCCCCACTTTTGGATTGCCGGTACATACTACAACTTATCCCTGCACAGGTTTTTCTTCCAATTCTTATGAGTTCTTTTTTGCAGTGCTGCACTGGTGCTAAGCAGTCAACCATTTCTGCAGTGATAAAATTTGAATGGAGAACAGAGTGAGATGGCTTCATTAGTAATCAAAACATGCATGAAATTATAATAATTCCACTATGCTAATTCTGCACTCGCCGAATGTTCATACTGGTACACCATCCAGGAGAGCTCTTTGGATTGCAGTCAGTCAATTGGTACCCCTCTCTAGCCCACAAACACTGGAAAATATAGCACCCAACTGCTCTCCTGGCTGAGATCAGCTGACTCACAGGCAACTGAGAATAAAAACCTTTTATGCTGTATTGCTCAGTGCTTCAGAAAGCAGCACTTTTACAGATCAAGACCCTCCATTTTGATCTCGCCTTCTGTCACCCTCCTACAAATCCTTGACTGTCCAGTGAGTTAGGATGTCCTCCCTAAGTGAAAGGCATTGCGTAAATGTTGTTGGTTGATTGGAGAACTTTGTACAGGAACTGAAGGCAACCTCAGATTTCCAGATGATTCAGGTTAAATACATACCTGTTATCAACCAACCCCAACCCGACTTTGAAAGGACTGTGGCTTTTCTTTAATAAACTTCTTCTTACAACGAGGTCCTCGTCAAACAGGGAGGGAATCTGAAAACAGGAAGATACATTTACATAAAAGGACCCTAAAACAACTTTAAATTTATTTATAAGTTACAAGCTCAGAAATAAAATTTAAAAAAATAATTTAAATTACTTGCCATATTGGGGTGGGGAGGAGGGAGGGGGGGGATGTGAGACAGAAAGAGAAGGAAACTTTATGGCCCTGAAAAAGCAATTTAAACGCTCTGTTGCAACAAGTCTCACATTTTATTTAAATATTTCTTCCACCAACTTTTCACCTCCTCTTGTGATAAGAATGGATTTAAATTATTTTTTCTTTTAATGGTTCAAATTAGCTGCTGATCATCCTGTCAAGTGACCATTATTAATTTGTTAATCTTAATTGTATAATCCTTGCATTTGATATAGAGCCTTATCATTTGTTCGAGACATCTGAAAGCTCTTCACAGAATATACTGTAAAGTGAATTGACTGTATATTTTATGGGTGAAATTTGGACCACTAAATTGCACACATATCCCTACGAAAAATATTTCTCAATGGGGATCAGCAGCTGGAACACTATTTTCCCTGACACTTCGATCAATTGCAGTGCCTCAACTATTGTCCCAGTAGAAACCAGCTAAATCAAGACAGACTTGAACTTGCCACCTTGTGGTCTTAATAACTGAGTGCTGCATTCAATCTCACGTTTTGTATGATGAATCAGAAACTGGAATCAAACCACAGGCAGCTAATGACAACCAGAACACATCTGTACAAAACCAGTTTTCATTGTAAGCTTTCGGTCTTAAACATTTGCAATAGGAGGCAAAGGCTTTGACAGAGCTAATTCTGCTCAATAGTCTGATCCCTGTGCAGATCAATTCCCATTCTATAGATTCCTATTCCATCAAACTGGACTTTTGGATCGTATGAAAGCTCCACTTCCAGCCCTTTCAAGTTGTATCAAAAGATGACATGGTTTGTATCTTCAACATTGCCACATAGTGAGTCAGACATAAAAGCAAAAGTCTCACAATATTGTGAGTGAATTTCAACACTCACCCCCCACCCCCCATGTAAGAAGTTTCAAATGAATTTACTTTTTTCTACGTGGACACTGCACACGCTCAGGATGAACTGAACACAAGACCGTAATACACAATCAAACTAGTGATTGTAAATGGATGACCATTGCAAAACCTTTGATCCCATCTACCACCATTTTGTTACAGAAACAAAGTATTGTCTCACTTCTTTCTTTTCCTCTTGCCAAGGGGGCTTTGTTTCTTGCTTTGACGCCTCCTGGACAAGCTGTTCTGACGGTGGCACGTAGTTCTTTGCGCTCAAAGCGTCAAAGAGTTTATCCACAAAACCAACGGTTTCTGTTAAAAACAACAATAATAATAATAATCCTTGCATTTGATATAGCGCTTTTCATGTCTTCTAGACGTCTCAAAGCGCTTCACAGAATACAACAACAACAAGATTTGATTTATAGAGCGCCTTTCACGTCGGGAGGACGTCCCAAGGCGCTGGACAGTTGGGTCGGGACCCGAGCAGGGGGTAAAGTGAATTGACTGTATATTTGTGGGCAAAACGCGGTTGCCAATTGCGCACAGCAGCGTCCCACAAACAGCCATGGATTGAAAATGACCAATTTATTATTGCTTTTGTTTTCTGGAGGGATCACAACACCAACGAGAATCACTGCTGAAAGAAATTCTAATACCTGAGTTCAAAATATCACATTTCAAAGCGCTTCACAGAATTTCTTTTCTCTAAGGTAGTCGTGTATTTGTAGGTGAACAGGGAAGCAAACTTGCGCATAGCAATGTCCCACAAACAACCATGAGGTGAATGACCATTTGTCCACGTCTCATCCCAAGCATACTTGTGGTATTATTTCTCAGAAACAGTGCCAAATTCAGAGATTTTGCACAAGCGAATTCAAGTCGCTTTGTTCCAGCCTTGACAGTGAACGAAAGACATACAGTACACCCAGCTGTCGAAAGTCACAACAAATGCAAATTTGCAGCTGAAATTGGACTGCCGAACTAAGCAAATTAAGAGTGGCCAGATGAAATAATGTTGCAAAGCAAAGTTGTATGCACATAGCAGAGTTTTATTCATGCATGTGTTCCCCAGCCATTCAAATGATTTAAAGCTGCCTTAGCTTTAAAGATTGTAGCTGTGAAATACATGGAGTACGTGTTAACTATTAAAAAAAANTTCCCACACAATGCAAGCAAGATGGGGGAGTTACCTATGCATTTAAGAAGATTCAATGCTATCAAAACTTATTTCAAGCGGTTTTCAGTACAAAACAGATGGGTTACCTTTTTGCAGAAACACATCCAACTGATCCACACACAAAGCCTTCAGTTCCTTTTCCGGTTTGTCTTTCTTAACTAAAGCCACCACATACTTCGCTAAAGCCGAGGGGTCAGCATCACAGCTGGAAAAGAAACGTTTTCAAACATTAAAATCGTACATTCAACTGATGCTGACAACGTTAATGCCGCAATTAGACTGCAGACAGACACTCTCCTACACAATGTCTGAAGTCAGGAGTTTGGGAGCCCCGAAACTCTGGAACACTCTTCCTCTATCCCTCCACCTTGCTACCCTACATAAGGGGTGCAATATAAATCTGGTTTTAGTGCAGGTTCAACCGGGCCCTAATTGGCACTACACACTATTTTTTTTTCAAATTTAAAAACTCAGAAGTCCTGCAGACTTCTGCGATAATTTTCTTGCCCCTTCCCTCCTCCGCACATTTTTCCTTCGAGTGGGGTACCATTCTACGAAAGTCAGGCACCCACTGACTGGTAGTTCACCCAATTTCCATTTATCGTATGCACATATCAGCTGGCCATTGAATAGGGGGGTGCCGAGGGCATCAGAGAACAGCCCAATTCTTTCTTCACCCGACATGCATCGCTGTTCATCTTCTAGAGTTCTCTGGATGGTGACAAGAAGCAAAGCAGAGAGCAAAGCTGAGTTTTCCCTTCCTAAGCCAAATGAGGGCAACATCATGCCCCGACTGCTACTCGTAAAAGAACATTAGGATAAATCACGAGAGAACCGATTGAACACATAAAACCAAGCCCCAGTAACAAAAAATGATCTTCAGGAGGTAACAAAATTAACCAAGGATCTTATTACTCTGTAGCTGTAGTCCCTCTCACTTCCACTGAATATCTATCACTAGCAGGTTTGTTTTAATTGTATACAACGTAAATAATATTTCTATAGTTATGCAAATAATAGCATTTCAAGATGCTTAAAATATCAATATTTAGTCACCAACTTCACTTAACTTCGCTTCAACAATGGCCACGATAGTTCTGATCCAGTCATTTTCAAGCGTAAGTTAATTTTCCAGCAGCTCCCCCAAAGCCTTCAGGGTAAAGGAGTCGCGACAAATTTGAATCCCAGTCTGGGTACCTCTGATTTGAATGATACAACTCCTAACTAACAGTGACTTCTGCTACAAAATGTGAGCGTGCAGACAGACTTACGCTTGGGTTTAAGCTTCATGCAGTCTAACTGTGTACCAACACACACTGTCAGCCCTCACACACACACACACACACACACACACCACACACACATAATACCAACTGAGCGAGGCAGTCCTAAAGGCAGTCTTTGTAATCCTACTGGGCCCTGAGTTTCTACCATAGCTTTCTTGTGTGAAACTCAAAATTACATAGTCTGGTTCTTACCACAAACTTCAGTCCAGAGTACAGGCAACTCCCGCAACACAGCGCTGTAAGGACTCACTTTTGCGAGAGGTAGCATACCATTAAACTTTCATCTTTATTACACTCTCATTTTGAAAGTGGATAAAACTTTCAAACCACAACAGATGCAGGCCCGGGAGCAACTCCTCCGCCGGTGTGGAAAAGCTTCTCTCTCAAGTCACATTCATGTTCATAGCTCAAAGTCAACAGCCCACTCGACGAGACATTTATCAGTAACCTAACAGGGTCTGATGGGCCTGTAAACCTATTGTGTCTGTTCGTTCCATTGTGTCTCAACCGCGCAAAATTTCTTCTGGAACAACAGAAACCCCTCAATGTGAAAAAGTCTTTCCTTTATAAAATGATACACATTATTACGATGAACTTTTTTAAAAAAAAATTCCACCGACTTCTTATCCTGCAGCTTCACCACCTTTATTTAAACTCTGCATAACAACCTCTTTAGATCCACCCCAAGAAAGTATAATCCTATTAGAGCCAAGCTGGTTAAAAGTGAATCCTGAAAATGTTTCTTCGGTCATAGGGCTGTAATACAGAATCAGTGAGGCGTTTTAAGAAGGCGGTACAGTACAGCACAGCACTTCGGAAGGAAGATATACAGAGAAGACGCTTTGAGCGAGAAACATAAATAGCAATCTTGAAACTGTCATATGGCAGAGGAGACGAGATGTGTCAAATGTCCCACTCCAGTTCCGATGTTGCTATGAAGCTGGTTGTGGACTCAAGCAGACGTTTCTAATTTAGAGTACTTTCATTTGATGTTATATTGAAATCAGGACTTTCTATACAGCATTAAAATGACCTACGGCTTGTTTTAATTTCCGGGAATAAAACCTTAAGAAAACAAGACCAATAAAAATAACATCTGAATTCGTACTCCCGAGTTTATTCAGTCAGTAACTGAGCCACGCAGACAAGAAAGTCCATATTTCATCCCTTAAACTTCCCAAATGCCATTTCTAGATATACATGTGAAAAATTTCAGTTGGGCTGAAAGTCTGAAAGGGCGACAGCCAGTGTTATAGAAATAAGAAAGTCAAAAAGTTGTTAGAAGAGGAAAGAAACTGCTATCTTGAGAAATTTTAAGACAATGTCTAAGTTGGAAGATCTTTTCCATCTTAATAACAATAATCCTTGTATTTGATATAGCACCTTATCGTGTCATCGAGACGTCTCACAGCGCTTCACAGAATATACTGTCAAGTGAATTGACTGCATTTTTTGTGGGGGAAACGTGGCAGACAACTGTCCCACCAATGTCCCACAAACAGTCGTGGATTGAGTGACCAATTCATTTTTTTTTCAAGGAATTATAACCCCCGCAAAAGCAATCCGCCAAACAGCTAACAACCGGTTTCCTACTTATTGTTAGGTAAACAGAGGCATGTGGAGTAAGGAAATTCGCCCTGCCGGGAATCAAACCCAGGTCTCTTGCTTGCGAGGTGAGTGCTCCAACAATTGAGCTACGAACCAGCACCTAAAACCAAGAATAGGAACTGACCAGAATACGGTAAGGCATTGTCAAGTATACCAGCAGCAGCCACAGCGTTTAACAACACTTAAGCTTTGATCATTAACAGTCAGTGCGGTTGGTTTTATTATTAACGTATTATCCATTGCATCAATCCACGACTATCTGTGGGACATTGCTGTGCACAATTGGCTGCCATGTTCGCCCACAAATATACAGTCAATTCACTTTACAGTATATTCCGTGAAGCGCTTTGGGACGTCTAGAAGACGTGAAAAGCGCTATATCAAATGCAAGGATTATTATTATTATTATTATCACTAAAGCTCCAACCTGAAGCCATTTTGTTTTTTTGCACCAATTCTTCCATATCAATATTATAGAATCAACTACACTAAACGAAAAACAGAAACAGAAATGCAACATTTTCAGCAGTGTTCTGTACTTAATGTCACCGTAAACGCTGCAAATTCCGACCAATGCTTTCAAATCTCAATTTTCTAAACGGGAGTGTGACAAATGTCCGCTTTCATTTTCAGACATTTTTTGAAGTATCCTATAAGCAATCATCACAACTCACTGCATGCTTACATGCAGTTTTGTTTCTTCATCATCCCTACAAATAAAACCAGACAAAAAGGCTCCTTTCCCCTACTCAAATTAAAATAATACAAAGCAATGCTTTTTTCAGTGTATTCCGATCAACTGCTAAGAAGGGTGTGAGTAGTGTGGTGCTGAGTCATAAACAGAACAGTCTGGGGTTCAACAACACATGACATTTGCATAGTGCCGTTCATGTCAGGAGGATGTCCCAAAGCGCTGGTCAGTGCTGAACAAGTCAATCTCAGCTGACGATAGTGGATGCTGCAACTTCCTTAGAAATGGAAGGTACAGATAAAAGTAGATTCCCATTCCCATTAGCATCATCTGCAGTAGTGAATCGCGCGCACGTGTGTGTGTGTGTGTGTGCGCACATGCTCAATAAGGGAAGGAAAGGGAGGAAATAGCGATCAAATCAATGCAAATTTGAAATAATACACGGCACATGTACAAAATTAGATACATGCCAGTAGCATGCATAACATGTGCTGCAAATTCCAACCTAGGATCTAGATCTAAATCTAGGATAAAATATATCTCCTCATAGTACCCAATCGGGTGACAAAACCTTCAATACGGCTCTTACTCATTGCTCTTAAGCATAATAGATTTGAGGTAGGAGCTAAAACCATGAATGAGAGGTCGCCATTTTGCCAATAAACTCCGTTCTTTTTGCAAGGTTTAGTTCACTATCTGCTCAACCCAGTTATTCGCTGAACAGAAATCTGAAGTTCCTCTGCAACCCCACTTTCCCAGTAAAACTCCAGAATTCTGATGTAAACTTATTTCCCACATTGCTCCTTATCCTCAGTCTATTAATCCTATCTACCCATCTATCTGTCCTCATCATCCCCAATCCTTTTCCTAACCAGATATTGATCCATTTTCTGGAGAGAGAAAAAAAGAAGCCACTTGCTGTGGTTGCAATCCCAACTATCACAGGTCATAAAACCCTTCATTCATTGCTGACACAACCTTCATCTCATTTCTGAATCAATTATATTGTGCAAAGTGCATCAAGATATTTATTTTTATGGAAAAGACATGCAAAGCGCAAAATATTAGCATCTTGGTTGGGCAATGGGTTATATAGAAACTAATTCTTTAAAAATAAACCTCAAGAAAATGTCACACTAAACACAAGGTATCATTTCTTTAGCAATACAAGGATACACCATTGGAAATATTATTAGCAGCACCCACAATTCATTTAACCAAGCTAACTTTCTTCCTATGATGGCAAGCTGCTGTGCAACATTGTGCTTGCATTCTGGAGACACAATGTACTTCATTGCTGTTATGCTCTTCACAAGATTATTAAACAGTTACGGGGCAGATGACATGTGAATGCTTATAACATTAATAATATTAATTTCCACCTGTACACAAACACAAATGACACTATTAAGCCTCGAGGCTCAAGTGCAAGGAGGTGTTATTCCAGATTCAGAACTTAGGTGAAGGACCAGGGTTTGTTGTGCATCAACGTTGAAAAGAGCAACAGAGAAACAACGCAAGTCAGGGAGAAATAGCGAAGGGGGACGGACACCAAGCTTTGACTTTTAAATCTTGTAGATAATGAGAAAGAGCAATAGAGGCAAAGTTCCAGTTTCTTCAGGTACTTGAAAGAAAGAGTTAAGAGTCTGAGAAGTTGATCAAGTTTGATTTTAAGGAGGAGGTAGCATATGGGTCAACTTACATGAAACTTGGTGAGAGGGAACAAGTGGACATTTCAGAAGAGCAGTGGCCATTGTTTGAATATTTCAATAAAGCAATTTGAATTAAAGTTGCTAATACCCCCTTTCTCCAAATCAATAAGAATGCAAATTGAGGCATTATGCATTCAAGTGTCCAAACCAGCAGAAAAGTACAGCAATAAAACAGATACTTAAAAGAAAAACAAAATAAAGTATAGTTCTCTGACTAAAGCCAAATGACAGTCCTTAAGAGTTCTATGCAAATAAAATAAGGACAACTGCGAGTCATCAAATGCAGAGAATAAGACCATTCTAAAAAAAAATTAAAGATAAAAGGTTATTTTTGCTAGAGACATTGTTTTACCTTTTTAAAAAAATAATGATGCAATAAAACGCCAGTCACTCCACTGGTGGATTTGCCTTCAGAACTTCAGCTGTCTTATTTATGTTTATATTCCTCAGATCAAAAGCATTGTTGGTTTGACTTTACTTTTTCTAAATCAAGATCTCACTCGCCGTAAATCAAATCAATTTGCATATGATATTGTGCCTTATTTGACAACTTTTCAAAGTACAGCACACAAATCACTTTGAGGGGTACACTAATCTACGTCAGTAATTGCCACAACCTCTCTGCTAAAAACATCACACGTGTAGAATGGCAATTATCAAACAGATTAAATTTTTTTTAGTGAATTTTGAGAGGGAGTTGGATTATTGCCAAGGACAACTCAACATTTCTCCAAAATAACGACAATAAGAGTTTCAATATCAATCAAAACACACAAGTTCAACATATCAACTGAAGAACACCTCAAACAATGGAGCACCTCACTCCACTTCTGAGTTGAGTTATGGGAACATGTCCTAATGTGGAACTCAATCTACAACTTCTGGTTCAAAGATGAGTCCATAAGTGAGCTTCGGGTCTTCATTGGTTGATGCATCAAAAACGAAGCAGAAAAAATACTCTTGGTAACATTGGTTCCCTAGTAAGAGATGTAACCCTCTGCTAAAAACATCACACATATAGTAATGAGATAATCAAGCATTTATTTTTTTTAAGTGAATTTTGAGAGGAATTTGGATTGTTACCGAGGTCAGCAGGGATATATATATATTTTTAATGATTGCCACAGCATTAATAACTCCAAAGCAATATTACGCATAACAAATGGTCACTTCGTACAATGAAAACTGTTTACAATAAATACCCCCAGAAACCCTTCCTGAAGTTACAGGGGAGGGGGGGGACGGAGAGGGAATACATTCAGTTACAGCCAAAAAAGGAGCAGGTGGAAAACCATTAAGGTTTGAGAAATTCTGTCTTGAGAAATTTCACTTTTCCAGATACTGGAGGGGGTGAAAGGAAAGGAGGGGGAGAAGGTAAAAAAAAAGAGGAAAAGGAGGGTGGTGTGGGGGTTAGGGTAGAAACTACCAGCAGGTAAAATGGTTGATGAACCTTAAAAAAAAAGCACAAGTTCACAGACAGAGAGAGAAAGAGAGAGAAAAGAGTTTGAGATTGTTAAGAGTAACAAAAAAAAATGCCAAGTTTATGGGGTGGTGGTGGTGGTGGGGGGGTGGGGGGGAAACAACAAAAAAAAACAGAAGCCATAGCTTTTTTCTTTCTCTTTCTCTCTCTCTCTCTCTCTCGGATAATAAGTTAATAAGTTAACAGGGCAGTAGTAGGAATGAATTGCAGATTTTAATAAGAAGTAAATCCAAAGCCTTGTTGGGGGACAAGGAAGGCAGCAGCATTTGTGGCCTTGCTCATGTGGCAGCCTCGGGGCGGAGCAGGGGGGGAGGGGAGGGGGGTAAGAATTATTATTATTATTATTATTATAATTTTTTGAGGAGGAAGGGGGGGGGGTGGGGGAAAGAATCTGAATCATCCAGGATGGAAAGGAGGGGAGGGGAGAGGAGGAAGGAGGGAGAGAGAGAGAAGGGGGGGGGGGGGGGGGGAGAGAGAGGGAGAAGAGAGGGGGGGGGGGTGAGGTTTTAAAATAATAACTCACATGGGGTCCAGTGCCCTTGACAGCCACGATTTGAAGGCGTCCAGGTTCTCAATGATCATCTTCCTCGGGGGCTGGTGAGGTGTGAGGAGAAGGGAAGGGGGGGAGGCAGGGAGGGAGGAGGTGGGGGGGGGGAGGTGGTGTGTAGGTGACTGACTGACTGACTGAAGCCTCCGCTCGTGGTGGTGGTGGTGGTGAGGAGGGGGTGGGTGGGGGTGGTGGGGGTGTGCGGGCTTCTTGCAACGACGTCGGGGGGCCCTCGAGCAGCGCCTCCCCCCTCAGATCCCCGCCAGCGCCATGACAACAAACCAGGACCAGGCCGCGCCGCGCAACCCAACCTGACTCGACTCGACTCCACTGACCGAACCCTCCTCCCCCGCCCCCTTTCGCTGACGGGCAGCGCTCCGCGCCAATCAGCGGCCTCCCCTGGACCGGCCCGACCAATCAGGACCGCGGCGGGGGCGGGACTCGCGCGGCCAACAAGTCAGTGTGCGCCCAACGGCCTTTTTTTTCCCTCTAAACCTCCGCCCTCTCCTCTCCTCCTCCTCCTTTTTTTTTAGGCCACGAAATGCTTCTCTTTCTTTTTCTCCGCTCTCCCTCCCCCCCCCCCCCCCTTTCCGTCGCTCTCCCCTCCCTCTGGCGCGTCGGCGCGCGGAGATTATCGATCTCTCGATCGATAAGTGATCCCTTCTGCGAAACACGGGCTTTCTTTTTCAAAAAAAATAACGCTGGCCCCGACCGCTCAACCTAATCCGATCACGTGGTCGAGCCCGAGCGCGAGCGCGAGCGGGCGGGAAGGAGGGGCGGGCCCGCTGCTTTGACGGGCGGGCGGCTGGTCCAATCGGGAGCCAGCCCTCCGCCGCAGGCTGGCCGCCCATTGGGTGGGGGACGGTCGGCGAGGCGGCAGCAGGTTAGGTTGCGGCCAATGGGCGCCCCGCCCCTCTGCCTCACTTCCCCCCCCTCACTCCCCCCCCCACTCACTCACTCCCCCCTCACTCACTCATAGCCTCCCACTCACTCACTCACTCCCCCCTCACTCACTCATAGCCCCCCACTCACTCCCCCCTCACTCACTCCCCCTCACTCACTCCCCCCTCACTCACTCACTGCCCCTCACTCACTCCCCCCTCACTCACTCCCCCCTCACTCACTCACGCCCCCCTCACTCACTCATAGCCCCCCACTCACTCACTCCCCCCTCACTCACTCCCCCCTCACTCACTCATAGCCCCCCACTCACTCACTCCCCTCCCTCACTCACTCCCCCCTCCCTCACTCACAGCCCCCTCACTCATAGCCCACTCACTCACTCACTCCCCCCTCACTCACTCACAGCCCCCCACTCACTCACTCCCCCCTCACTCACTCACTCCCCCTCACTCACTCACACCCCCCTCACTCACTCTCCCTCACTCACTCCCCCCTCACTCATAGCCCCCCTCTCACTCACTCCCCCTCACTCACAGCCCCCCTTCCTCACTCACTCCCCCTCACTCACAGCCCCCCTTCCTCACTCACTCCCCCCTCACTCACAGCCCCCCTCCCTCACTCACTCCCCCCTCACTCATAGCCCCCCCTCACTCACTCCCCCCTCACTCACTCCCTCCTCACTCACTCACTTCCCCCCCAAGGGAATGACCCCAGGTTGTTGCTAACCTTATTCGGTGGTGGGGGGTGGAGTTTTTATTTTATTCCACTGGGAGATGGGGAGGGTCTATGGGGGGGGGGATTGGAAATGTTTTCAAACGTAAAGCCCCAGAACCTCCCCCTTCCCCCCCCCCCCCCCCCCCCTTACTCCCCCCGCCTCAAGTTTCAATGGCTCGTCCAGGCTTTGGTCATCTCACGCCTCAACTATTCCAATGTCCCCCTCCCCCGCCCCCCCCCCCCCCCCCCCGAGCTCCGCTGTACACGAACCATCCAATTCAACCACCCCCCCCCCCCACCTCTGGCGCCCGTGTTACCTTTCCCCAACCCCATCCACCCGCTCTAAACGAGCCCCCCCATCGCACCAGTTCGCCCCGGGCTCCACTGGCTCCTCATCCCGAAAACGGAACGACTTCCAAAGATCCTCCACGCTCGTCTACAAACCCCTTCACGCCTCCCTGCCGCTCGGCCCCGCTTACTCCCCTCCCCGCTCCACCCCCCCTCCCCACCCCACAGACTACTGCTTGTCCCTCGTCCCCTCCCTCCACCGTGGGCGACTGCTGTCGGCCGGCACGCTCCAAATTTTGGAACTCTCCCTTAAGCCCTCCACCTCGACCCCCCCATCCTCTTTTCATTTTGCTCTTCGACTGTGCCTACAATCACCTCTCCCGCTCGGTGTCAGGCTCCGCCACTGTTACACGTTCCCAAAGCTACCCCGATGTGAAGAGCGCTATACAAATGCAAATTATAGTTGAATCTCGCCTCAGATTGATCCCTCTCTTCCCCCCACCCCCCCACCTCCCATTTCACCCACCATTTAATGAGCCACAAGAAATCCTTCAACCCATGTGCTCTCACCTACCCCTCAAATAGTATTAATAATAAACCTTTCCTTTGATACAGTGCATTATCATGCTGTCGAGATGCCTGTCGCAATGTAAAATGCAGTAAATGTATTTTGTTGGGAGACCCCTCCACTCACTTTGCCCTTAGTCAAATTAGCCCTGAAGACTTTCCTCTTCGACCGTGCCTTCGGACACCTGCCCTCCCCATTCCAGCTTCAAACCGCACCACTGTCAAGCTGCTACCCCGTGTCAAGGGTGCCATATAAATGCAAGTTGTCGTCGTTGTTGAACCCATGTATCTTAGAGTCCTATTCACGTTGACTATTATTACGTCACACAATTTGGACACGGTGAGTGAGTATTCAACTAACACCCGCAGATCTCTTTCAGCTTCCCCCCTCAGTCAATGTTGTCCCATTCATGGAGAAAACATACCTCCTATTTTTATATTCTGTGTGCTGTACTGTACCTTCCTTTTGTCTGTATTTAATTTCAGTTTGCAGTGATTGCCCAAAGACACATCCTGTCAAGTTTTCTTTTCAAGAGCTTAGCAGACCTTGTCTGATACCAGCAATCTTCTTCGATCCAGTGTCAGCTGCAAATTGAACCTCCTTGCACCAAGCCTTAGAATCCAGATCATTTATGTATACAACGAACAGGAAGGTTTCAACACAAACCTTTAAGGTTTAACCTTTAACCGAGATGGGACTGAGGAGTATAGCATTTGACTTGACCCTACAGAAATGCCCAAACAAGGCTGAGGCACTCTTGCCTGAGAGCCTATCCATCCACTTTAGATATTGTGGCAAACTTCAGGTCCTAAAAGTACTGGTACTGTCATTCAATTGAATGACAGCTCTTAACAGTACTCAGTGGAAGTTTTATTCTGACATCAGGGGTTGGTTGAAAATCCAAAAGATAATTTTGTTTTGCACAACTAAAATAATTCTATACTTAATGTTAACACTTAACAAATTTTTGTCAACCACTATCCCCCAAAGGGATCCTTTTTTTATAGTTTTATATTTCCCTTTGAAGTAGAGATCTATAATCAAGCTGTTTAAATGACATAGTATTCCATTCCTTCACCCTTCACACTGATATATTAATCAGATTTTTAATAACAAATGCTTATGCTGTATGATTAGAGGAACTTACTCCTCCATTCACCGAGAGACTTGGATAAAATGGGAAGTGATATATTAATAATAAAGTTATTTTAGCTCCTTGATGGTTCAGTAAATTACAGCCCACAAACCTTTGCAGTCTAGGAAGGCCCCAGTTCGATGCCCTTCCTGTCTGCCAACTCTCCTGAAACCTCACCATAGCCATGGGCACTATTCACACATCATTAATTGAAAGTGTAAGTATGTGCAGTTGATCAAAACAGGATCTGGACTCGACTATGATGTCCGTCACAGTCAAATGACCTGCTGGCACCCGCTTTCCAGGCTGGCAAGAAGGTTAGCCACTTGGATGCGATATGGATGAGCAAATAGGGCTTGGGAACGCTTAATGTCAGCTTTATCGCCTCAAGAAAGCAGGTGAGAAAATTTAAGGTGGAATTTCCTAACCCCGCTCTGCACTCAGTATTATCTTTTAAGAAAAAGATCGACATCAAGGACACCAGTTTCCGTTATGCAAATAAATAGAAATTTTGATTTTTTTCCAGCACACATAGAGAACATATGGTCCATTACGGCTGTGCCACTGATCCCTATATTATTATTATTAGTCTTGCTTTCCAGCTCCACTTAATATGGATTTTATCCCGTTCTATTTTGTATGATTTTAACGAGCCAGTCTCTATAATTTAAATAATAACCACCGTTTGCCTGCTTTGCGATGTGTGATAATTAATTTTATTAAGTGTTACCACTTAAATTATTTCAGTATATGTTAGCGGCATATCTTATGTGTTGTTACAGCACAGACATAGATTTGATGATATGGATTAAGAGCAACAGTGCGAGTCAGCAAGTCTTGTTCAGGGCAGAACCAGGTGAGGCGGAGCTCTGTATAATTGCCTCTGTACGCCAGTTAACGTTTAACTTTATTAAAGAGGTTTGCGGGCCGGCCAACTCTTTAACGTTAAAAGAAATAGCTTTGCGCCCGCTCGCTCGTGAACTTTTAAACTTACAATATTTTAGTTTAACCATTGACTCGGCAAAACAGGGGGTGGGGAGTGGGGGGGGGTGGGGTGGTCACAGCACCTCCCAGTGCAGTCAGACGAGACGTTATTTATTGCAGATCGGAAGGCCCAGAGGCAATGGGATCCGACGGACAACCCGAGCGATCCGTTTTCCGTGGCCGCAAAGGTATTCCATGCTCTCACTCTCTCATCGACCTGTAGCCTGACGCTCGCCGGAATTTAGCCGCCTTCCTCCGAGGGGAGGATGCGGTGCGTCGCGCGCGCCGGGGCGCGGGAGGGATTCCCCCGCGAGCGGGCGGCACTCGCGCGCGGAACCCCCCGACCGGTTGTCTCGACCCACAAAACACACGCAGCCAACTCACTTCACGGTGTCTCCTGCGAAGCGCTTTGAGACGTCTCGAGTTATTGGTGTTATGCGGACGGGGTTTCTGCCGACGCTCTGCAAGACGCCCCCCCCACCCCCCACCCCCCCTCAAAAAAAAAATCCACAGCATGTACAGAAACAATGAAGCTCGCAGTACCTGTCCTGGGCCCTGGGACCCCCCGCTGCCTCTCGCCCATTTGGGTGTGATGGTGCGGTGGGACCTGCAGTACTCGGATCGGCCCGGAGGGGCGGCAGTGATGCAGCAGCGAGAGCGTCTGCCATTCTCTCCAGTCATTCAAGCCTGGCAGTACCCCGCTGTGGCCGACAGGGGCGACGCTGCGACACCCACCCCACCCGATCCCCACCCGCCTTGAATGCCCGCCCACAGGTGGCACACAGACAGACAGACAGACAGACAGACAGGCGCTGTGCCTGTGATGCCCTGCAGTAACCGCGGTTGGCCAGCAGGGCGGCGCTGTGACGCGCCTGTACGCTGCACAATGCAGCCGTGGGGTGTGCGGGTAGTGGGTGTGGGTGGGGGGGGGGGGGCGGGGTTTGCAGTACCAGCGGCGGCCGCCGGCGGCGGCGCTGTGACACGTTCGTACCCTAACCAATGTGGGTGGGTGGGGGGGGTCGGTGCAGTGCTGGCGGTGGCCGGCAGGGCGGCGCTCTGAGTCCTGGCGGGTGGGCGGTCAATCAAGTCGGTCACTTCCGGTGCGGCTGTGGTTCGTTCCTGTAGGAAAATCTCACAGAGAGAGAGAGAAGACCGTTCCCCAATAACAACAGTGACTGTGGCCGCTCCTCCCGCCCTGACACAGCCTCGAGACGAAGCCATGGCGGATCACAGCAACCGGTACCAGGCGGTGAGTCAAGTCAGGCCCCGCGGGCAGCCCGAGGGCGGCGGGGGAGGGGGGGGGCGGCCCGCCAGGAAACACCGAGGCTTTGGGCTGTCCCGCTAGGCCTCACCTATTGTTTTTTTTTCGCGTTGTGTGTGTGTGTGTATATATATATATTTCATTTTTTTTCAAAAAATATATATTTTCTTTTTTAAAAAAAAAGGCCGAGCGGGAGGGGGTGTGGGGAGAGGGTTATTTTTTTTTTTTTTAAACAGTCGACGCACCTTTCGGGTTTGAAGGCTTTGGCAATTGCAGCTCAAGCTGACTGGGATGTTTGTCAAACAGTCAAACAAACAACAAAATGTTGATGATGATGATGATGATCCTTTGCCTGTGATTGCGCGCACCTTCTCGGGTCGCCGTGACGTCTCCGAACGCTATGTAGTCTCTCTGTGGGTGAAAATTGATGATGAAATGTGCAAAGGGAACGGTTCTGCCTGGGGAGGGGGGGGGGGGGGAGGGGGGAGTGGGGGGGTGGGGGGGGTGGGCTGAGGGGAGTGGGGGGGGGAGGGGGGGGGGGGGTTGGGTGAGGGGAGTGGGGGGTAAGGGGGGGTGGGCTGAGGGGAGAAGGGGGTGGGGAGAGGGGGGGGGATATGTGTGGTGGGGGTGAGGGGAGAGAGGTGGGGCGGGTGGGGAGAGAGGTGGGGGGGTGGGGAGAGAGGGGTGGGGGTGTGTGTGGGGATGGGGAGAGAGGTGGGGGGGGTGGGGAGAGAGAGTGGTGGGGGTGTGTGTGTGGGGATGGGGAGAGAGGTGGGGAGGGGGGGTTGTGGTGGGTGGGGGTGGGGAGAGGGGGTTATTCATCTTCCTTGAAAGGGGTTTGTTTGAATGTCGAGCCTTTGGATCAGAGACGTTTACGAAGGAAGCCGGAGTGATCGCCAAAACAATTGCATGTTGCAGCGATGCACACATCAGAAAATAGGTCACTTTGTTTCTGCACATAAAGATGAAAGCTCTCCTCTGCGCTCACCCTACCTGCCTGACCCTTGTTAAGCAGTTTGTGCGTGTAGGTTTGTTTGTAGGAGCTTGCAGGAATGTCCTGTGACCTCGAGGCAATATGTTATTTAAATAGAAGGTTGTAAAGACTTTAGCGCCGCTTTACCGGTTATTTTCTTTCGAAAAATAACATTTTTTTTAATATAAAAAGGCATTTTTTTTAAATAGAGAAAAGAACAGGTACAGAGAGGTGCTAAAGGCCAAAATCATTTTTGAAGTAGTGTTGGAGGAAAATGGTGGAAAGGACAACAACAAATTGCATTTATACAACTGTAGTCCCTTTCACACACTGCGAGGACAAAAGATGTGGCACAGGATATCCATCTTCCAGTGCTATAAATATCAACACGTGAGGTGACTGATGGACGGAATGACAGTAATCCTTTGATTGAGTGACTGCTTCATTATGTTTGGCAACTGGTGTTAATTGAAAGAAAAGAACGATACAGGTTTTATTCAGGGTGTTCCCAGATGTACATACACATATAAATCATTCTAAGCATGTGATGCTGTACCTTTTTATTAAATATCTGTCTACACTAATTATAAAACTGAGAGCAGACTGAGATGTGCGAGAGTTTCTGATAAAAATAGAACTGTTCTTTCTCTCCATCCAGTAGATGCTTGTTGAACATTCAAAATGGATGCTTATTTATGCTGTGTAATCTTTCATATAAAAACCTGGGTTTCACAACGCAGCAAACAGTAACCTGAGGCACGTCAGACTGTTTGAACTCCCTGGTTGCTTACTCCCAACTCCGGGTGCCGGTATAGAATCTTGGTGTTTTTTGTTTGACCCTCATCTCTCCTTCAAACCTTTCATCTGGACTCTGACCAACTCCACTTTTCTTCATCTCCGCCACTGCTCCTGCCTCCACCGCAACTTCATCCAAAAGCCTTTTGTCACCGCCATACTCAACTTTCCTACTGCCTGACTTGGCGGCCTTCACAAGTTCCAGATCATCCAGAATTCCATAGCTGAAATCTTCCCCCACAGTAGGCTCTGTGAGCCCATCATCCCTATTCTTGTCTGCTCTAATGGAACCCTAGACTCCAGCAGATCAAATTTGAGATCCTCGTCCTTGCCTTTAATTGCCTCTGTAGCCTTGCCCAATCCTATCTGGTATCTCCTGTGACCTTACTCTCCCAGCCTTTCTCTCTGTTCCACCAACTGCGATCTGTTTCATTCCCCCTCCCCTTCTTCCCACTTCTTCCACCCCACCATCGACAGGTGAACCTTCAGCCCCTTTGCCTTATCCTGTGGATCTCACTTCCAAAATGCCTCAATCCCTCTCTCGCTTTCAAAACCCATCATAAAACTTATTTCTTTGACGACTCTTTTGGCCACTCATTTTTTTTGTAAAGCCCTTTGAGCTATTCTCCCTCTGTGAAATTTGTGGGTAGCTGTGAACAGGAGATGCAATGGATTAGATATACAAAAATATATGATATATGGCAAGAATCTACCTAAACAAGCACTGAGCCTAGACTATGAGTGCAAGTTCTGACATGGGAGTGAACCTACCAGCTGCTGACAAGCAGAGAGACAATGTTGGAGTTTTTGGATGGTCATGTTATTTTAAGGTAGCCCAATTTGGTTGGTAAATTGATTCTTCCTATGTCTCCTTTGAGATATTTGTCCCTACTTTTCTGAGGTCAGCTGGTGCCCAAATTGACTCGATGCCTTTCGAAAAAGGCGATAGAAATATACTTGTGTTAAAAAAAATTCTGGTTTTAATTTTTCGAATGACAATGCATTGTGAAAGGTCGGAATTCATCTTTAGATAGGGTGAGAAAATTAATTTCCTTGCGATGCTGGGGAAATTCAGTTTATGGTTGTGTTCATTGGATGAACGTACATGATTTAATGTACAAATATGGTTCAGATCAAGCAGTTTTTCTGCCAGACAAAAACAGGGGCAAGGTAATCACATGATTCACTTAAACAGCTGACTCTGCAGTTTCAGTATAGTCTTAAGACCGATTCTGTTCCTCATTGTAGTTGGACTGTGGAGCTTTTGCAAGTGATTTGGCCATTATCCAAATGAATAATACACTCCTTCCTTTGTAAATTTCCTGGAAGAATGCAAATGGAAAAATTCTGTGTGTTGCTTTCACTAAGGAAAGCTTCTGGACCTTTTCCAATGAAGTAAGAACATGTTACAAAATTGTTCACTGTAATTATTTTTAATTTCATTCTTGATAATTACATTCAGAGCACTACATCATTGGTGTATTTTTGCTTTGTCTGATGTTTTGGAAATCGGGGCTTTCGACTGCAGGTGTACACTGTTGTACCACTATGCTATTACCTCCCATGAAATATTTGTGCAATGTTGAGACAAGACCCTAATTTAGCACAGAAATTGCACAAAAAAAATCTGCTTAGGCCAAACTGCTATTCAAACACCAATATACAGTAGATTGTACAAGTTAACATTTAGAAGCTGATTTTAGCATTTCAACAAATATGATTTTAAAAGAGTCCTCCTGGCTCTGTTTACTGCCGTTTATTTTTCTTCCAGACACTGAGGCCATCAGTAGATCTTGATGAATCGATAAAGAGCAGATAATGGGATGCAATGCCTTTCTTCATTCCCCCACCTTCATACGAATCATCTACAAGTCTTAGCTAGCTTCTTGGATGAAGGGAAAATTAGAGTGTCTGCTGGTTATATAATACGATACCAGCTCACTCCTCAGTTGGCGGGAGTGGTGTGCAAGAGAGAATACTTGGAAAGGAGAGAAATATCGAATAGTATGGCTTTGCTCCAGCTAATTCCTGTTGCCTGGAATTGAACTTGGCTTTACACAGTATATTCTCAGGAACCTACCTTATAAATGATTCAAGGGCAATAAGCTTAAAAAAGGGTTAAGATTACAGAATTAAATTTAAATGGAGATTTTATTATAATATGTTATATGATGTATAATCTTTTCCATTGCCAGGTGCATTTTTTTAAATCTCAGACTATCTCCTCTCCCACATTTTCCCCAAGGGTTTTAGACTCTTCCTCTACAAGTTTATGGTTCTGCGGGGGCTAGTATCTTGTCTAAGTAACTATTATTCACGTGGGAGCCTTGACTGTGAGTGTCATCAGATTATTGAGCCTCAAGCCTAATCCTTTCTCATCCGTCATCTCCCCATACATGAATGTGTTCAGCGTTCGGTTTTAGAATACCACCTCTCAGCCCCCAATCTTTTCAGTGGTTCGGCCCTTCTAACATTCTTTTTCATACTATTTGGAAGATGCTGACTCATATGAGCTTTGAGTCCACAGGCTTTCTGGGTGCAATTGAATTACTAAAGTGGCAGTATTTTATCTTACTTGTTGCAATCAGAAATGTAGAGGAAAGTATAATATATTTTGAGGTATGTGGAATGATCCTGCATGTCTTCATTCAAGTGGCTGTTTGGATGATGTGTTTCTGGTAAGGGATTTGGTAATATGATGTCTTCTCTTACTCTTTGTCTATTTGGTAATACAGTACACAGATTTTCCCGACTAATCCTTCATGTGGTTGCTTTGATGCGTGTGGACCATCTTGTTAGTTTTTGAGATGCTAGAACAGGGTTCTCCAGCATTGTGTGCCAGCAGCCGAGAGTAAGACATTGTTCCTTATCGTACCATTTGAAAGAAGATCCATTGAATTTAGCTGCCATTCATTGTTGCAGCAGATGGTTACTACATTACTTGCCATTAGGGGAGGGAATGATTCCAATCATTGCTTTCAGCAAACAAAACGCAAGCTAGTGCAGAAATAATGGTTTGCGGTTGGATATCTTTAACATAATCTGATTTTTGGAAGGAGCTAAACTTGTTCCTGCCCACGAATCATTGTGAAACACAACTGATTGCACCACTTTGAATTTAAAATGGACAGTAACCTAAGCTGACACTCCAGTGAGGAACTGGTGCTTTGTCAAGGTGCAGTCTTTCTTACAATAAACCAAACCATCTCCTTGTTAAGATTATTGGGATTATTGGATTATTGGAAAAGAGAAGGGAGTTTCTTCTGGTGTTCTGGCCAACAATCCTCCAAATTAAATTTGTCATTCACTTTGTGAAACATTGCTGTGCACAAATTAAGCTGCAACCTTCGCCTACAAAACATAATCACCGCATTTTACAGTATATCCTGTGAAGCGCCTTGAGACACCCTCCCGCTATACCAAATGTAAGGGTTATGATTATACAATACAAAATTAAATTTGTATGGCGCTTCTCATGTTAAGAGGATGTCCCAAGGCGCTGGGACGTTACTATTATGTGAAATATTATATGTGGGCTTACCCGCTATTGAAGAAAGAAACTTTACATTGTAAATATCTATTATCACAAATATTAATTCAATTACATGCAGAACTCCACCCCGGGAAATGTATAAGAGAGTACCAGTTGGCATTTGCCAAGTAAATTGCACACCACATTCATGATGAGAACCTAAGGAGTGGTCACACGAGGGGTACTGTGTTGAATGTTTCTCAACCAAGAATAAGGAGTGACCAGAAAGATCCAATCGCCCTGTAACCTTGTGATCTCTTGAAAGTCATTTAATAAGTAGACTGTACCTGCAGGCTTCATTTCATACTATTATAGTAAGGTTAAATGCCCCCCCTCCCCCCACCATTTATACAATGTTATACCCAGCGTTTTTCCTGCAATTAGCCAGCTTGGACTGTCTAGGTTTTTTTCTTTTTTGTGACATTAGTTTGGTTCATGTAATGTAAGAATTGTGTGCCAAGCTGGGAAGCCTGGACCCGGCCCTGTGTGAGAGGCGCTGTATAAATGCAAGTTGGTGTTGTTGTAAGTAGAATGTGTTTCTCCATTGTTCTATCATCTCATCTCATGTACCTGCGCTATATGGCCAAAGGCTAATAACGTTGACCCAAATTGAAGTGAGGTATTTATTCAGCTTAGCAGACTGAATGAAATTTGATAGCGATAGCCTGAATTAAGTTACCAACTACCCCCTTCTTCTCCAATAACATAATTTAAATGTTTACCTGTTCTACATCTTTCCCTCCTCCGAAATAACTACACACATAGCACTATTTATTGGTCTTCAAGCGTGAATTTAAATAAAATACAGAGATGGTAACGCCATTGATGTGTTTTTCTATGGAGAATGTCTATTGTTTACTTTGTATTTAAGATCACAAAACATTTTGTGTGGACTAGTGCAGCAGCACAGTTTCCTTTGCACCTTTATTCTGTCAAAACAGCTTTGTTACGATGCTACCCTACAGGTCTCTTGTCGCATCTGTTTGAAGCTGTGTGTGTTTCTTTGTTCAGTTGCAGAACGAGGAGGAGCCTGTAGAGGTGTCAGAGTCCGTTGCAGAAGCTGCTCCTCCACCATACAGCAGCATTGCTGCAGATAGCGCAGGTATGTAGTGTTATCCTGCTAACAAAATACTTAACTGCCATATCGTTTACTGTATTCACTACTGAAAGTCAGTTTTTATTTCCACATGTTCCATTCTGCATTGCTGAATCAGCCTGGGTTTTGCAGCGAATGAGAATTCCTACTTTCTACATAGAAACTCAGCAGCTTATTAAAAGAAAGACAAATGTTTAGTTTTTTTTAAACCGCTGAGTTGGGAGTTGTGAATTCATCATTGAAATTCGTAAAGGTTCTGTTTGCTCCCTCCCCAATATCACCCGCAGTCAGTCTACCGGAATTGACTGCTGATAGTGACAATATTGCACAATTGAAGATCGATAATCCAGATGATGATGCTGAAGAAGAAAACTACGACACCAAAATTCAACACCTTTCAACTAAAGGGAGAAAAACAGAGAGCACAACATCAACTGGTTAAAGCATTGAAGCTGAGGCAAAATTCCAAAAACAAACTGGGCATAAACAGTCGTTTTGTTTCAGGGAAGAAAATCATTGATAAGAGTGATTTCTGAAAAGCGTACTTCCTTCCTGTGCTTTTTGTGATCCTGTGTCACTGTTTGAAGCTTTGCAGCTTTGGCCTTCAGGTTTAATGATGGGTTCATTAAAAGTTAACATGGGTTTGGAACCTTTGCGCACTCTTGACTTCAGGTGTCAGGTGTGAAGGATGCAACTTTAAAGCAAGTCGAGGCTCTCTCAGGTTAGAGGTGAGAAGTGTGTAAACCAACCCCCTGCCATTTGAATATCTTGCTTTGACTGGGTACTGAGGAAATCCCCCAAAACAACACTGGATCATCTCTTGGTTGCACAACCAAAATATAATCTAAAATTAATTTTAAAATATAAAATCCTGACTTTCCCTGCAGGCTTTCAAACACAAACTACAAGGTCTGAAAGCAAGCTAGCACCCAGGTCCGTTTTAACCTTACTAAAATAGAAAGGAATGTAGGATATTATTCGTAGCAAGTGAACAGCACTAGCTATTGGTAGCTTTTTCTTGTCCGGGCTGGATATTGTATGGGATCAGTGGCGTGTCTGTGGTTCCTGTACTTTGCACTGTAGATTGTCGATTTCTCAGACAGAATTGCTTTGTTGGTTGGGTTTCTGTGATTGCTCGTGGCACTCATCAATCCAGCAGTAATGTGTTAGGTTTAGTTTTTCAAAATCACATCCGCTGTTCAATATTTCTGTTGATATTTTATTTAATCGTTCATGTGTACTTACTGTATAATGTTTAATGAGATTGCATGCCTCGATCAAATGTTGAATTATAGTCCAAAGTCCAGCAGTTGGGTGTCTCCTTAACATTTAAATATCGCACAGCGAGTGACTAACTGTTCCTTTCTCAGCGTAAAGAGGCAGCTGTTATTTCCCCACAGCAACATGGCTGATGCCAGGATTCAGAGAATGTAAAATGCCTTCCTGTCTCACAGAGAAGGCATTTCTTTTCATACATGAGGAGGTTAATCCTACCATCCCACTTCTCAAACAGATTGCAATGCTCAGAAAAAANTATGCATATTTTTAATAGTGAAGGGAACCACAGCATTTGCATTGAGACATATTGATCCATTTAGTAATGTTGCACAATATTCCTGCTGGAAACTCCCCTTTGCCAACTCCACTCGCTTCAAACCCTTGAGGGGAGTGGACTTGAGTCCCATCACTCTGACCCAGTTTCTTAGAAGTGGAAGAATTGTTCTATCAATAGTACCACTCATACTATTCTGTAAGAGTGAAATACAGCCCACTCTACTTCATTTCCATGGGAGCGTGTGGTCTGTTGTCACCTGAGGCCCTTGAGGCCAGTAAACCCAAACTACAAGCTGCAAATCTCCACCCACACAACTACATATTATACAGTTTATAAAATCTAAGCGACTTGATGTGGTTTTAAAGCAGGGGAATAAAGGTGACAGACTCAGAATTGGAAAGTACAATTCTAATCCACTGCAAGCCCCTAAATTGCTAACAGAAAGCATCCTGTAAATGGATTGTAATTGACCACGATGGTGGTAAGTTTTTACAGGGTACAGTAACTGAGAAATCAAGAGTTTGAGTAACCAAGTGATCTGGGAGCACTTGGGGCCCTGATGTATGTTTGCATTTATTGGCTCCACTTCGAGCTTTGCAGCGTTTTTATGCTGAAAAGTCAGACAGGAACGTGTGAATGCAAATACATGTCAGTACCCAAAGGGTTACTGAATCATTTGGCACTTTGCTTCCTCTGATTTCTTTGCATCTTCTGATGCAGCCCTTGTCAATCTTCAGTCTTTTATCTCCTATCAGCAGCTTCGAAACCAGATAGTCTGCCAGTTTTGTGCCAGTGAATCTCGTGAAATAAAAGTTGCTCACACTTTCAAAACTTTGCATTTAAATCGCTTCTATTTTATCACAGCTTATTGTTGCCACTTTTGTGTTTACAACAGATTTATTAGTGGGAGAGGGAGTGAGCAGGACCCTTGGGTATGAGCTGTAAATCGTCATTGATCTTCTCCAAATTCAGCACGTTGGCAGGAAAAAAAGCATAGATGATAACAAAACGGGAGAAAGACAAGTACAACAACAAGATTACATTTGTATAGCACAAGTTCAAGATTTTAAAGCGGGTCTTCAAGTTTAAAAAGGACCACAGTAATTCGATCTCCTAGAGAAAGTAAAATAATGAAAGGTGTGAAAACAATCTTAATTTGTGGCTTTAATATTTTGAATTAAAATTAAACGTTTTAGTCAATCTGAAGTTTGTGAATGATATTATAACAATTAATTGATTTGCTAACATTTGAGCAGCTTTATTGCTTGAACGTTAGCATGGTTGGAAAAAATAAGCAAGCAACTGGCCCAGGGAGGTTCTTTGCTTTATAGTTCTCCCAGGATTCACAAATCTAACATGTGTTTGCAGACTAGAGTAGAGCTAGGGGATATCTTAATGTTTTGTACTTTGTCAGACCTCCACAGTGAAACAGCAAGTCAGATCAAAAAGTGCCAATAAAAGTAATGAAATTGCTTCACCTGCTGATTTCAATTTTCTTTGCTGACGTCTGCTCTGCGATAGCGTTCGAAATTAATCGTACCTAAAAGTGAGTGAAATTTCCTGTTGGTGCTTTTTTTTTTATCCCCACCGCAATTCAGCTGATTTACGAGAAACTTTGCTTAACCTAGATGCTTTTTAATAATTGGACAATGTACCAACACAGTTTCAACAACAGGGACACTAAATTAATTTCATAGTCCGTTCAAAGTGGGAAAGTGACAAGTCATGAGATTCCCATGGTGATCTTCCAGTTTTTTTTTGTGGGGGTGGTGGGGGAGCAGAAGAAAAATCAGGTGACCATTCAGATAGACTGTGGAAAAAATGTTGCTCGTATTTTTAATGAAAAAGCTGTAGATGTGACTGAAAGAAAATGTCTCCCTCTCTCATCTAAATGCAAATCAAGGCATCATGTGCTTTTAAATGCATCGTCAGGGGTTCAACTAAAAAACACATTCTGCTGATGATTCCCAGTGGAGGAAGCCAAATGTTTCTAAATGAAAGGCCTTTTTCTTTATTCCTTTCTCTCTACCTAAGGACTTGATAATTACATTTTGGTTGGTATCCACTTGGCTGAAAAGAGATCACAGACATTTACTATCTCAGCTTTGTGATCACGTCAGCCTATAGTGATAATCCCTGCATTGATACAGCGCCTTATCGGGCCTTCGAGGTGTCTCAAGGCGCTTCACAGAATATACTGTAAAGTGAATTGACTTTATAACTTAATCTTGAGTTTCCTAAACACAGTATAGTGCTCTGGAACAGTTGCCATTTGTCACATTGTACAGTGCTTGAAGCAGCAGAGTTTAGGTGGAAATTTTCAATGGCTGTAATGTTGTCTGACTTCCTTGTCTAACTTAATAATGCTCCCCCCACCCCCCCCATTTGCTGATCTGTCGTTGAGTTCCACACGCATCTCAAGCTGACTTGCAGTATTTTGCCCAAATAGACACTGTTTTGTGTGACGTTAAATGTTCAGTGTCACAAGACTATGGAGGGTATTGCAGTTGAGCCCGGCCGGATTCATTTCATGCCTGTCATTCGCACGCACGCACGCCCCTTGCCAACAGGGGTTTGTTGAATAGCACTAAGGGCAGGAATCCTGACCGGGTTTTGCCCTCCCAACCCCACACATAATGAACCCAACTCTACCATTCCAACTACTGTCCTGGCTGAGATGGGGATTCAAACCTGCAGCTTTCTCTCTACACGGCACAGTGCTGACCAGACGGATACCTCCTCTATCTGTTAGGCTTTTTTTTAAGCTCCTAATACCAGTGCTAACATTACCTCTGCGAAGAGAAAGGGAGGAATTGGCAAATAAACCACCTGTTGCTGTTATTTTTTTGCTCAGAGTTGTCACTTGCATCTTGCTGTTTGGCTCCTATTGAGAACCCAAGAAGTTTCAAGGTATTTTTACAAAATGTGGCCAGTTTCTACCTGTTAGATATTTGGGTCTGTTTCGGCTTAAAACATTGAATAAAATTAATTGGGAGCTCATAGAGGAAAAGATTTTGAAGTCCAGTGGACTGAATAAATAATTTCGAGATGCAATTGAAGCCATGAAATATTATTATGATAAGTCGGTATTTCTGCCTTTTAACTCCTCCCTAGCTAGCCATTTACTGAATATAATTTTTAGAGTAATTTAAATTCTTAAACTCATAGCTAATTTAATTTAGTATATGCAGAATTGCCAACTTGGAATTGATGAGCGATGTAAAAATAATGTGGCTTTTGCCAGGAATCGTGTGATTTATTAAGTTCTCTAGTTCATGAATATCATGTGGCAAAACCTCAGGGAGTGAATATTGGACGGATCTTGTGGCAATTTGCAAGTATGCGGTACATTATGTGGCTAGTTAAGGAATATCCTGTTCAATCTGTTCTTAGTTCCTGTTTGAACCACTTGCGATATGAAATGCACTTGTTTTTTTATCAATTTGTATTTCTAACGCAGAGCTAATGGTCATGTCATTTGACTAATGTAATTCAATTGCCAGATTTTCCAGCTGCAAACTTGTCTTTCATTGTTGTAACAGTAATGTGTAGTTTACATACAATTGTCAACTTGGAAACTGTGAGCGATGTAGATTAATGCAATCTTTGCCAGGAGTCGTGTGATTTACAGAGTCACGGCCTACTTTGTTTTATTAACGTTCACCTATAACCCTCCCCAAATTACTACAAATGTTTACACACTCTTGTTGCTATGTTTTCCTGTGATATTGCAGTGACTTCTTGACCTTGAATCTTAGGAATGTTCATGATTATTCTCGTAAGTGCACTGGCTGTTTTGTAGTGCTGTAGTCGTCCAAACGATTTCAGTTCAATACCTACTCTGTGCTGATCTCAGCTGATTCAGCAGTGGGCACTACATTTGTCTGATGCATTCTTGGGTTACAAAAGGAGGAAAAATGAGCCACGGCTTTTGATCACTATCCACTGATCATTGGAAAATGTATGAATGTGGACATATGGGTTAGGGCAGCTTGACTGTTAACGCTACCCAAAAATCTTCCCAATGCTCGCTGTCTGGGGTAGTGCAACTAGGAAGTTGCCAACACCAGTGACCACACGTGCGTTAGATGTTCGTGAAGAAAATCCTAAAGATTGGGTGTGTAAGGTATGCTTTTTGGGGGCTCGGAGTTCGTGACTTGCTATCCATGCACTAAATTGTGATGTGTGTATGATCCACTTCTGCCCACCAGAGGCGAGCTTTATCATTTGTGTAGTTCACTGAGGCCCTCTGGGGGTAGGAAGTCATGTTTCAGCACCTGATGGACTCTGGTTAAGCTAATTGTTTTAGAACCTAAACATTTTGGTACTTACAAAGTACTAGCTGACCCCGTTGCAGCAACGCTTGCAACCAAAGGATCCAATGTGGAATGTAGGTAACAGTGATACCACTCACAAACCATTCAATATGCCATAAACACTGTGTGTACACCTTAAGCAAAACAATTGTAGATGCCGACTCCGTAGTTTTTGTATGCTCGTTCTTAGAGCTGGCGTTTTCAGTGATGTCACTCACAAACCTTGTGTACACACCTTAAGCAAAAGTGCCATACGTGTGTGATGAGCTTGTTTAGGTCATAGCTCATCAATGATGGGGGAGATCCCTCAAAAAAATTATGCCCATGACACTTCCCCCATACAAGACCTTTCCGAAGAGGTATAAATCATGCCTCTACGTCAATCGGTTATTAGTTCTTGGCTGACACACAGACAGACACCGTGTCTTTATTAGTGTATGAGATAGAAAACTAGACCATTAAACCAAGAAATTATTTGATAGGTTACTTATCTCCGTCTACTATGGGGAAACGCCACACACAGAAAGGCAAACTCTTTATTGACAGTTACTCTCAACAGCTGCTTTTCACTTAGCATCTGGTTGTGAAATAGAAATAGGCTTCATCCTCGGAGCAGCATGTCCTCTCATCCTCTCAGCCAATCTAAGTCTAGAGGGAGACCGGCAGCACAATTGAAAAGGGAGAGAATTTGTTACAGATCCTACAGAACAAGCTTACACATTGCTCCAGTGTGTTCCTAATACTTTCTTTTTTACCCTACAGCCTTCTTTGATTACAAAGAGGATTCTTCATTTCCGAAGCCTCCCTCCTACAGTGTGGCCACCTCGCTGCCCACATATGATGAGGCCGAGCGAACAAAGGTTGAAGCGACCTTGCCTCTGGTTTCTGGGCGGGTGAGTATTTAATTTACATACCTGTTAGGCGTAGGTCCTTTCGGTCAAACCACCCTGGCCCAAAATTGCAATTCAAAAGTTTGGTTAAATTGAACTTTTGGCAAAAGTGTTAGCCACTCCCCCCCCCCCCCCCCAATACATTTATGCTTTTCAAACCTGCAGTAATCTTGTGAGATAGCTTGAAAGTGTGTTCCTTCTCAGAGACTTGGATAATGTTCCTTGTTATATTTGCAAAATATCAACAGCATTACAATCCTGAGAGACCAACTGAGGTTTTGATGGCTGTTTCAAGAACTTTCTGCTGCTTATGGTCTTTTTTACCCCCAGTAGCAATGAGTCCTGTTGAAGTTTAGTTCCGTGAGTACTGGCAACCCAAGCAAACATTCTTCGAATCTAAATCTAGATAGTGAGTGTTGGCAGAGGTTATTCATTCTAAAGGGCGTCACTGCTGAGCTCAAGTCTATCCTAACTCAGCTTTCTTCACACTGACTTTCCAGCAGAAGCCACTAGAATATAATTTCACCCACAAATACAGTCAATACACTTTACATATATTCTGTGCAGTGCTTTTGAGATGCATCGACGACATGAAAAGACACTATACAAGTATTATTATTAGAAAGTTCTCTTATCTAGTCTTGTACGTGGAGAATGTTCCTTTGTCTAAGGTACGAGAGGGTTTCTGGACTACTTAGAACCGAAACCCAGCAAGTGTCATTGCCTTCAACAGTACAATACAAAATTACATTTGTAAAGTGCCTTTCATGTTGGGAGGACATCCCAAGGCACTCGAAGGAAATTGGACATAATTGGAGAAAATTCGGATTCTCTTATGCTCTTCATTTTATGTTCACTTGACAAAATATTGCACTGCTATTCTTGTAACCTGCCAATTTCAAGTGCTAGAAACTGTATCGAATGGGTAGAAAACTATACACAACTGCAAAGCAATTGTCTCCTAGATGGCGATAATCAGTCCAGTGTTATGCCACTTTTCCTGTCCTGATCAAACTGTTATCGGGTTCAGACCTTGCATGTCTGAGTTTGGAGTGTACTTGTAGTTTGAGATTACTCTGCATACTTAAATGATAATCGGCAAGATAGTCAGTCCTATGGTTTGAATTTGGCCACTTAGAGGTAAAGTGCTGAATCATTAAAGCCTGAGCTAATAGTATTTCATGAGTATTAATCATCAGATGATTGCGTGGGGCTTGATTTTATTTCCACATTCATCTGCCCGTAAATCCCAGCGCATTAAATAATCATCATCCCTCTCCCGTCACTTGTTCCTGATGCTTCTGTTAATACTCACTATGTAAACGGAGAGCAGGGCATTGCTTTAAGGCGATGGTTGGCTTTGCTACTTTATTTTCTTGCTTCCCTTTTTAAGTGACTGATCTAAAGAAAATGTGAAATGGAAATTCTGCAGTGAATTCCGTGCATCGTTGGTCTAATTCTTTATGTTGGCCAAATACCATGTTGTCTTTATGATCAAGATTCATGTTATGACATTAGGTCCTTTCTTGCAAGGATCAACATATTTGTTTTCAAGTTTGCCTGCCTTTGAAGGAGTTTTGAGCCATAGGCTGTTGAAGTATGAAATATTGCTTATTTTTGACAGCTGCAAATGGAATCTGATATTCAGATATGAACTGCTTAAGACAGATGGTCTTATCCCAACTTTATAGGGAGACCTATTGGGAAGCTAAGTGTCTTAAGTGATTGCCATCTTTGCTAAACCCATGAAATAAGATATGTTTGAAACATATTCGTATACACTTTGACAATAACTTGTGAGCAAAATAAAATGCGTTGATAGACGTCATTCTAAACGCTGTTAAATCCTTTTATCATTTCCGAGTGATGTATTCCTACCTTGCTGTAAGATTAAAGTTTCACATCATTAGGTTTGCTTTCAACACACTAGCTGTGGTTCTGTTTTTGTAAATGGCAATACAAATTTCTGCCGCGCTTAGTGACCACTGACTGTTAGCTATTTAGAGCTAATCCCTGCAAGCTCTGTGCAGCAGGCATTTACAAGGACGGGGTGAGAGGTTAAACGCGTACTTTACGCAAGGAATCAAATAAAGCCTAGTTCTCCCATCAGTGCATTAAATTGGTCTTAGGACATTATACGTATACTATAGAATACTCTCTCCCGCCTTAGAAATGTTGGTCTCCCCTGAAAACAATGACTGTGTCATAAAGTACTCCACCCAAGCAATCCTGCCTGCTTTAATAGTCGAATGCCCCGTTTTATGCAATTGATCTGAAAGGATCTCTATTGAAAAGCTGCGTCTGTTTGAATTGTGCTACAGTACTGACATCTGACAGGAACCACACAGTTGAAAGGGCTTGTGTTGCATGGCTCCGCTACTCTGGAAGAATGATGACCTCTTTAGGCTGATTATCCCAGGTTTTGCAGTGTTGCAGATTTTTAGCTGTTGCTGTGAAAAACACCTAGTTTTCAACTCCCCCTTTGTTGAGGAGAAGTAAACATCCGTCAGAGTTACGCAATTCCTTATGCTGATGGATTGTCTCAATTTATTTGCTTATGGGTTTACACCTTTTTTCAAGAAAAACTATTTTATTTAACAGGATGATGACTTCTCTGGAAGGGATGACTTTGATGACGCAGACCAGCTCAGGATAGGAAATGACGGCATCTTCATGCTGACCTTTTTCAGTAAGGAATTTCTTTTTATCGCTTATCAGAATGTTTACAGATGGGAAGATGCAAGTTTGTATTAAAAATAATTGAATTGCAAATATTTGCTGAATATAATGAAGCTCCTTTAATAGTTAGGGAAAGAGAAATGTTACATTAGCATTTAGTACATTATTCGCCCACAAAATACACAGTTAATTCACTTCACAGTATATGTGAAGCGCTTTGAGATGTCTCAACGACCTAATAAGGCGCTTTTTACCAACTACAAGGATTATTTTTCTGTTTTGCTTTTTCCCCTTCTCCCCTAGAAATTTTTCAATGATAAGTCCTTGAGGGCATTGATTCAAAGATGCGCATCCAGGTGGAAACGCTGGTTCCATCTCCTTTGTATGCTGAACGCTTTTTACATTTAGTCTTAAATTTGAGTTGCTTTGACTCATCAGCTCTTGGGGATGAATGTTACTGCTCCAATAACAAAGGAGTATGAGATCCAATGCGAGCTTCAGGTCGTACCCTCATTAGGTTTACACCAAATATCATCCCACTCTCCTGCTTGTGGGAGAAACCTAGAGGGGGAGAGATTGTAAGGAATAATTTGTTGATGGCATTGCATTTTTTAACATTCATCTTTTTTCCTTTGTTTCTCAGTGGCATTCCTGTTCAATTGGATTGGCTTCTTCCTCTCCTTTTGTTTGACTACTTCAGCTGCGGGGCGGTATGGGGCCATCTCTGGATTTGGTCTCTCGCTGATCAAGTGGATTCTCATCGTCCGGGTGAGTGGAGCATCTTCAAGTTGCAGGTGCACTCATTCTTCAAAAGCCATGCATATATCACGCCTGCCCTCAGCAATGCTGCTGAGTTCGATAGCACACCTCAGTTATGTAAAAACCTAGTAGGTGCAGAGCTCGACACAAAAATTGTCTTGACACTAAACTGCAATAGGTGAATATTTGCCTCAAGGCATTGGTGGGTTAATCCAGCATAATTAAGGGACACCGTTTGACCACTGTTCTATTGGGGGGAATTCTAACCATCATATCCATGTGCCAGCATCCATTCTACTGTAAGGGTTGGCCTGCTCTTTGGAATGGAAGTTTTGAGGATTTTGTCCATGTGTTTTCTCTTGAAATTAGTGAGGACCTTCTCTAAGTCCAGACTACTTTTATTATTATTATCAGTGGGGGATTGTTATGCTTTCTCTTGAATTTTTTTTACTTGTCTCTGTTCCTCCAGTTCTCCACTTATTTCCCTGGATACTTTGATGGTCAGTACTGGCTCTGGTGGGTTTTCCTGGTCCTGGGTAAGTCTTTCATCTCTACCTTTTTTTAAATATGCGCATCACGTTTAATAATGATCTTTCAAATGTTATGGGGGGGGTGGGGTGGAGTGTGATTCAGTGGGTTTGAATTCCTCCTCCACCCAGTTTAAAATCTGATCAGTGTTGGTTCCCAATGAACTGTTTTCCTGGCAATCGCTTTGCCAAACGCCGAATATGTAAGTCCCAATTGCGATAGAAACGCTGGAGTTACTAACTGACTGACTAGATTTTTCCCACCCGGTTCACAACGAGAGCGCGTTCCAACTTTTCATTAAAAAAATAAATAAAACGCAGCATTACTTATATCTGTAAATGCATTACATTAGCTAAGATTTGGGAAACAATCAGTGCAAGAGCATGATTCAGAGACATTGTGGATTATTGCAAGTATCCGATATCCTTCCCCATGTTTTTTTTATATCAACTGATGAGAAGACATTTTGGCAAAATACTGCAGAGTGTCTTCGTCTCTGTGGAACTACACTCCAGCCCCATCCTGCACCTTCAGAAGGGCAGGGAGGCAAACGGAGAAAGCGAGATGAAGTGAAATATTAAATGTTCTCTCTATCTTGTTACGGTATTAGCTGAATAGTACAGGAACAGGGAAGTTTGATTTCTCTCCCTTTACCCCAACCCAATGTCTTCCAGGATTCCTGCTGTTCCTCCGAGGATTCATTAATTATGCTAAGGTTCGAAAAATGCCGGATACTTTTGCTTCCCTGCCAAGGACCAGGGTCCTGTTTATCTACTGAAGGTTTAAGGTTAGTCGCTCTTTATGAAACCCCTTTGCATCACCGCTAAATGCAGCTTTTTCTGGTAAATGTCCAAAACAGTGGTGGAGCCACTGTGTCACTTAAAAGATACCCATTTCAGGGGGGAAAGGTATTTTACAAACTGTTTGTGGAAGAACTAAGTGTACAGGGTCGTCTTGCCCCTTGTTACAAAACGGCGAAAGGAGACTGTGGAGGATCTGAAACAAACTATCAGAGGCGCATTTTGCCTCGCCTCGTCACTCCATCCACGTTACGGAAGATGTTGCACTGAACGTAGCGACGGATCATTATCTGCCATGAAAATGGTGGCACACGCACACCCTCTGGATGTCTAAATACAGTCAAACACTTGTACTGAATACAATTAAGTACTTCTAAATACAATTCTCATCATTCTTCCACACGTTTCAGTTGTTGGTCAGTGCACTGATAAAAAGAACATTGAGGGTAACAGGACTTTGTGGACACCCGGTACATTTCTCAACAGTGAAACGTGTATTTCAGTCTGAGCCGAATAATTTTGCATTTTCAAAACACGACTCTGTCTCTCAATGGCCCTTGTAGATAAAGGCACCGTTCAGTGTGTCACTATACCATGCAGACCAGAAAGTAATGGGTTGGGGCTGTGCTGTGTTAGCTAATCTCAGACAGGGCAATGGCTTCAGCACCCACTGGGCTAGGATGGGGGAAAGTTGACCAGAGTTCCTGCTCCTGATTGCTGTAATCAGTGACCCCTTACTAAAGATGGGCATGTGTGGACGTTAAATGAGCCCCAGCTGCGATGGCCTCTTCCCCTCGGGGTCAAATATCTCACCCGAGATTCGTGGTCTGGGTTCACACATGAAGAATGGCTCCTGGGCTGACGTGGCGGACGGCAGCTGCCACCTGTGGAACTCTCCCCAGCATATCATAGACTTCAGGAGAGAATTCAAAAGCACACTGCTGTGCGAGTTTGTCATTGAAGTCATCTGAGAGGAAGAAGATTGATCGCACCTTTCAAGATGAAAGCCCCGCGTCATGTGACAGGAAGGCAGTGAATTACAGGATTTATCTTCTCACAGTGTTGTGTTGTTCCCCCTGCTGTATGTATATAGCCTGAATGCTTCCCTGTCTTGACAGTATTACCGTAATCCTCTGCTAGTTTTTCCCGTTTCAATCCCAAAAATAGAACAGGTCTCATTCTGGTCCTAAATGGCTCTCTCTCTTTTTTTTCTTGCTTGCAGATGGTTTCCTGGAGAGAGATTTCCTGCATCTGTAGATCGAACAGCCTCTTCAACTAGCAACTGACACCTGCAGGAAGTGGACTTCACAACCAGGACACCGAAACGAGAGACAGAGAGAGAGAGAGAGTGGGGAGGGGGTGGGTGGGTGGGTGGGAAGGAGGGAATCACTGCTTTTAAAAAAAAAAGAGGAAAGTCGAGATGATGTTTCGTATCTGTTTTTAGATGTAAAATTTTAATAGTGAATGCTGAAAAACTTGTAATCATTAACTGTTTGGTGGCTACCGTTGAAAGTGCTACTGCAAAACTGGTCTGTGATGTACTTACTAACAACGCCTTATTGTTTGTAGTCTTTAACTCGCATGCACTTTGCCCTTGTAGCCCAGTAGGGGGCGCGATTGCTTTATTTTTCCCACCCCCCCCCCCCCCCCCCCCTCCTCCTCCTCCTCCTCCTCCCGGTTCTATCATCGGCGAAGTTTTAAAAGAAATCCATTAGTAATAGAAACGATGCTGGTCATGATATGTTTAAGATAAAATGTGTTTCTTCGAGCCTTCAATCTCTTTAAAGTGGTGAAGCTGAAGTATAATAATTCGCAGAGCCGCTCGTCCGTATTTTAAGAACACACCAACGCACTTTTTGTGCTCTCTGACAGGTTATTGGACGGCACCTTCGGGTTTTATTATGTTCTAAAGTATATGACTGTAAATAGATCAAAACATCTAATAAATGTGACTTCTATAGCAAATTCGGTGGCGGGGGGAGTGCAGACTCTTTCGCAATCTCGTTCCTCTTTTCTCTTTCTCTTCCCACTCTCTTCCCCCACACCCTTCACCCGAAAAAAAAGCAAAGCAAAGGTATTTCATAGTGTGCAGAGATTTCTAATGAACAAGTGGCCTCAGCCAGTGTGACTGAGTAAGGTTGGTTAAGGGTAGTAAGTTTCCAAGTATACTCAGCCCTCTGGGACGCTATCCTGTGTAAGGGGCACTGTATAAATGCATGTTGTTGCAGAGAGCCATCCCATTACTTAACCTAACATCCTGAATAGAAGCACATCCTATGCCATGTCCTATGTTTTTCTTTTTGTTTATATTAATCTGTATGTTTCTTGAGTTGATGGTTTGTTTGCATGAGTCAACTTGCATTTATGTAGTGCCCTTTACACAGGGTAGGGCATTAGAATACATCAGAGTTAATATTTCATGGTGTGTATCAGACCGGAGGAGTAATAGGTGAAGAAAAACACCAATTTTCAGTTGTTGATACACTTATGAATTGACAGATGATGCTCACGGATCTTGGTACAGGAATCGGAGAGTTAAGGCAAGAGTAAATATTAATATTCCTTGCATTTAATATTGAATCTTATGTCATCGAGACATCTCGAAGCACTTCACTGGATACACTGTAAAGTGGTTTGACTGTGGGAATAATGCAGTAGCCAGTGCGCTTAGCAGTGTCCCACAAAAAGTCGTGGAGTGAGTGACCCAAGATGTGATGGTGAAAATCGAAATTTCAATTTAAAAGGTTGGACTGCAGAACGCCGGGGGGAAAAAAAGTGACCATTCGGTTGTTCTTCACATGTTTATGTGTGTGGGTAAAACAGCTACAAAATGCAAGGGGTGGGGGAGTATAGTGTGCAGGAAAAGGTAGATCTTGATATGAGAGCGCAGCATAAAGACTGAGCTGAGCCCCCGGTGTGCTATTTAAAATTACAAAGAGTTTTTTCACAAGGACAGGATTCTTGGTTCCAGTGACATTTTCCTGCGGCTGTGGGGTTTGTGCTTTGCTTGTAGCCAAGTCTAATGCAACCGAGCTATTCATGAGCACTCAAAAGAGCAACGCACGGAGTGAGGTGTGGGCTGCAGTGTTGTGTTCAGTTCGACTTGGTCAAACCGATCAGTGACTTTTTTTAGGATCCTGCTCTATATCGTGCAAATGGATGGAGTGGGGTATTATTTGCCCCCCTCCCCCATCTGTGTTATTGTTCCTGTGTAAATTAGTGACGTTCACTGTACCAGCAGGTTTCGCACATGAAGAGTAACTACTTGGGTAAAGTACAAGGATATAATAATATAATCCTTACATTTGATTTTGCGCCTTTTCACAAAGGCAGCCAATTGTGCGCAGCATTGGACCACAAACATTCGTGGATTGAGTGATCATATTTATTTATTTGAGGGATTACTTCTCCCGGAAAGAGATCCGCCCATCAACTAACAACCGGGTTCCTAGTTACTGCTAGGTAAACAGGCGTGTGGAGTAAGGAAAATTGCTAAGGTTTTGCCCTTCCCGGGAATCAAACCCGAGTCCTCTCGCTTGCACTAATCACTACGCTATGAAAGTAAAGCCGCTGTTCTGTCTACGGGAACCATACCTGACCACAAGGTCTCAGGTTCAAATCCCAGTCAGTGCAAAGTTGGCTGATCGCAGCTTTGGGCACTGGTTACAGTCTCAAATGTGTGGGGATATTTAATATCTCGTTCATGACGGTTGAGTATTTGTGTATTGAGAGGCGGGATGTAAATTGTGTAACATGAAGTGAGGTGAAATGTGGGAGCATTGTACATCTGATAGAAACGCACTCTGGTAGGTTTCCGCTACTGGTTTTTAATCGTATATAACCATTCATAAGAGGGAAAGAGGAGAGTGAAAAGGATACAGAATCTACAGACCTAGAGATGCTTTTGTACCACTGTGAATTAGCTGGTTTTACAGAACCAACTGTGTATTGGAATGGTCTCAATACCGCTTTCATTCCTGTAGGAACTTGGTTGTGTAAATGGAGGTTTTTGTTCTCGAGGCCCTTTGCAGCAAGGGTTGGAGGTTTTATTCAGTAGCCCAGGGGTTAAAAACCAATTTGTGCTTATCTGGGTGACAGGAGAAAGGGCTATGTTATCAACACCGTGTAAACAGCCAGAGAAAGCTTTTACTTAAAACGAGATGGAGTGATGAGAGAGGCTCATAGTGCACCTGTTGAGATGGATAAGCATGGGGTTCGGTGGGGGGAATGAGAAAATAAATTTTAGTGACTAAATATTTTCCAGGGGCCGAATATAAGAAATGTTTGACCTTTTATGCACCTTATAATAGGCATTAAAACACTTAATGAGGAACTCTCTATTAGAAAATCAATTAATAATCCTTGCATTTGATATAGAGCCTTATCATGTCATCGAGACATCTCAAGGCGCTTCTCAGAATATATTTAAAGTGGATTGACTATATTTTGTGGGTGAAACACAGCAGCCAGTTACGCACAGCAGTGTCCTACAAACTGCCCCAACCGGGAATTGAACCCAGGTTCCTCTCACTTGAGAAATGAGTGCACTAACCAATATGCTACGTGAGTAGTGAACAAAGGTGTACTCTCCTATAGTCAAAAAAAACTCCTATTCTGTAAATTATATTAAACTGAGCGAAAGTGCAGCAAACGAGTGGCGAAGGAGAAAGAGAATTCTCTATATATTTATGTCCACACTGGAGTTTAATAGATGGAGCAGACCAGAGCTTGAATAGTTCAGTGAGAGGCTCTGGTATGCCAGTGCACTCAAAGTTTATCCCTGGATTCTGAAACTTATTTTAACTAAAGAACATCTGTTCCCAGAGGTTCTGCGGTATTTAGCAGAAGATACTGGTTTCCTTGTCTTCCGATTATTTTTCCAAAGCGTGTTTACACAGAATATTTTGCTTCCTCGCTGATCCCAAGTCAAATGCCAAAAATGAATAGCTCTGTTTAAAGTCCTGCATGAATAGCAGGTTCCCCACTTGGATCTAAATGGTGGCTTCAATCCCAGTTGTACTCCAGCTGCCCATTTATCTGCCTTCTAGTTTATTGCTGTTCTGAATTGAAAAATGGCATTGTCTGATGTGTCGGTTAAGGCAGTAAAGTCACGCTGCAAAGTATTGCGACGGAAGACCTTCCAGATCGAACGTGCTTACGGTCACCTCCAACCCCCTCTCCCCCCCCCCGACTTGGTGTCAGGCTCTGCCATGGTTAAGCACTCCGAGACGCCCTGCGTGAAGGGCGCTATGTAAATGCAAGTCATTGTATTAAGCCTAGATCTGGACCAGTATTTAGCTCCTCATGTGATTTGTTTTCTTGCTCTTTCCTCTCTCTCTCCCCCCCCCCCCCCCCCATTAAGAGTAGCCCGCTGATATTGACTAGCGAGGCACACAAACATAATGGCATAATGGTCCCTGAGAGGAATGATTTCTGCGGAACCGCAACCCTTGTGTGCGTTACGTTCAGTAATGTTTCACCCACAAAACCAGTCAATCCACTTTACAGTGTAGCCTGTGAAGCGCTTCGAGACATCCCGACGACGCGATTAGGTGCTATATCAAATACAAAGATTATTATTAATAGTGCTACAATGGGCCGCACTACACCTGGGGCTCAGAAAGTGGGGGGGAACCCAGCCAACGATCCCATCTGTGGTCGCTATCCATTGAGCCCTTGGTGGAGATGGTTCCCATGTTAATGTCAGGCACGACAGGGCAGGACTCATAATGTTGTATTCGTCCCATCTCTGATATTGTTTCCAATTGAGGAGCTGATGTAAACTCAAGTCTCTTGCCTCAGTCCTTGGATTGATAGCTTAGCCCCATCCAACTGTAACCTCAATGTCCACATCTGTGTACTGACTCAGTAAAAAAAATTCTTTTTTTTAAAAAAAACTCATAACTTATTTCTATTTCCACTCTTGAGGCATTTCGTAGTTGCAGGAAACAAGGATTTTATGTGCAGAGACTCAACGAGTTTACCAAATGTTGCTGGCAAACACCACTGAAATTAGTGTCCAGGTTTTTTTTTGGGGGGGTGGGGGTGGTGGGGTGTTGGTTTGGCTTGTATTAGAGCACGGGAAGCCGAGCAAAAAATCGGGGAGAGCAGCAAAAAAAAATGGAAGGAAACGTATAGAAAAATAAAGAAGTACAGAGATGAGACAGGATATGCAAGGTCATAAACAAATCAAAGGGGTGGGTGGGTGGGTGGGAGGGGGGGAGCAAGTTGATAGAATAAAACGAAAAGATCTCCAGCGAAACGGAGTGGGATTAAAGCTATAATTATAACCTTGAAAGAAGAAGATAAAATAATAAGAGAAACATGATTGAAGAGAAGAGAGGTGGGGGGGGGGTGGTTGGAGTGGGGGGTGGGAGGTAAGAAAACAAATCGTAACACACAGCTCCCCAAGGAATAGCTGTGTAGGTTAATCCCCCCTGGGCTTTCCCCCTTTGGATATCCCTTCCTTCCTTCCTCAGTCTGTCTCTAATAGCTCCCTTGTTCCTGAAGGACAAAACTGGCCCTTTGTGACTACTCAGAGCAACATTAAAAACAGGAACAGGGAAATTGTAAACAGGCTGCTCTGGCCTGGCTGAAACATGTACCAACCCCCTCCGCCCCCCCGCCCCCTCTCCGCAGTGTGGCTTCTGCTAGAGCAAAGAAACAGATTCTTTGTTAACCAGGGGATTAAAGACTGTGGGATCTCGGAGGCGCTGCGAAAGGCAATGAGGGGTGGGCTGGAGTGGAAGCTTTGTAAAAAGATACCTGCGTTTTCTATCTGCCAACGGAAATCGGGCTTCCTATTTATACAATGCATGTAACGTGATAGCGCTTCTGTTAAAGACTGTCAGAAGGGTCTGTGTGTGTGTCTGTCTCTCTGTCCCTGTCTCTCTCTCTCACTCTCTCGCTGTTGGAACTTGAGCACCTATTAAATGCACAGCTAAACCTTGTCCCGTTTGGAAATT